CGAACGATTGATCACGCGGCGTTGCAATTCGATCTGTCGACGGGTGGGTAAAAAAGGCATTACACGTCGCGGGCCAACTTTATAAGAGCATCCTGATGGGATAACTGCTGACATAGTGTCTCACAATGGGATGATCTAATCGGTGTCACAGCCTGACGAAACCGGCCTAAGTGTGTCGGGCTCCTGGCGATCCCGAACGCCGCCTCAACCTAACCTAAACTACTCACCATTTTTCACACTGTTTCCGCGTAGCTGCAGCGTTTTGGCTGTGAGTCCACTAAGTTCGATCTGCTGCCGCAGCTGCTGCTCCACCTGGGCATGATGGCCCGTCGGATTGTATATGTAAACGACTCCAGAGCCCATCTGACTGAGCTTGAGGGGCAGGGCCTCCTCATTCTTAACCACAGACATGGCATGCATCACGAGAATGGCTCCAAAGACACACACAAATGGAATGGACAGCTGTTAAGGATAACGTAAAGATAAGAAGCGTTACTTCAGTTATAATCTAGTGCAGAGGTCGGCACGAGTACAATATGCATTTTTCAGCTTGGTTGTGTGCGCAGACTACAGTACAGGCACGTAGCCTCACGAAGCTTGAATCACTGTTAGGAACAGTGTGTGTTGTGGTGGTTACCATTATGACAGCATATAGCCACTCGTTGGCAAGGAACGTCCACTTCTTGTAGAAGACCGCCAGGCAAAGCTGCCACGTGCTGGGCGGCGCATGCTGCTTGGGTAGTCGCTTATAGGGCGCTGTCAGCAGGGGCGCATCGTTCCGAGAGCCGTCTGGAGTGTCCACTTGGTCCTGCTCTCCCGCACATCTGAAAGGCAGTAAAAAGTTTAGGTATTTGATATACAGAGGTAACTCCAAGACCAGCTCTAACGCACCGTAGGAAAACATCTTCCAGGGTAGTATCCGTCATGGAAATGGTACTTATTTCCAGCTCACTTGTCTTCGACTCCAGTTTGAGCAGCATTTCCGAAAAACGCATCTTGTACGCATACGGCAGGCAAATATCGACAGTGGGCTTCACCACATTCTAATGGAAATGCAGGGAAAATCAATCAATACACGCTGGATTTAGGGCGCATCCAAGTGAAGTCTTACCAGCACGCGGGCAGTCGGGACGTAATCGAGTATAATTTTCATTATTTCATGCTCGCGGAATGTGAAATCGGTGACTTCAAGCTTTAGGCGGTACCCGATGCCCGATCTACGCTTTAGTTCCAGGGGGGAGCCGGTGCTCTGCAGCTTTCCATTGGCCAAGATGCAGATGGTGTCGCCCAGCACCTCAGCCTCCTCCATGTAATGTGTGGTGATCAGAATGGCCTTCTCCTTGCGCAGATTCAATAGGATGTCCCACAGCTCGCGTCGTGACTCGATATCCAGTCCAGAAGAGGGTTCGTCCAGAATCACAATTCTGAGCAAGGAACAAGAACACTTTTAGCTCGCTTTCGCAAAATTCCACGAGTATCAGCCACTTACTTTGTGTTTCCGGCAATGGCAATGCCCAGCGATAAACGCCTCTTCATTCCCCCCGACAAGTTGCGCCCATACTCGTCGCGCTTCTCTTTGAGGCCCAGTTTTTTCAGCTTGCTATCGGCCCAATGACGCGCATCCAAGCGGCGAGACCCGCGCAGCTGGGCAAAGAATTCCAAATGCTGATAGCACGTCATGTAGCTCATGAAAACACTGTGCTGGGGACAGAAGCCAATCAGGTGGCGATACGAGGCCACATCGCGCTCGCTGCAGACAACAATCTTGCCGGCATCCTTCGGAACCAGACCTAAACAAGTCCAAGAGGAGGATCAGTATCTGATGGATCCTGAATAGATGAAGAATCATTGATCGTACCCATAATCATGTTCATCATCGTTGTCTTGCCGGCGCCGTTGTGACCCAGTAGAACCGTTATCTCCTTGTTGTTGATCGTCATATTTAGATTGTCCGAAATAAGAGTTTCGCGCTTGCTTGTCTGGAACTTCTTGCATAGTTCCGAGATGATGATGGCATGGGTTCCGCGCGGTGCAGTTGTGTACTCGTTGCGTTGTCGCTTCTTGTACGTAGTGGGCTGCAATTGGGGAATCAAGTTAGCCTTTTAAATGATATAATATGCCACACTTACATCCAGGAAGAACAGAAAAGGACGCTTTAGTCCCCCAGGACCGGGAAAAACACAGGCCATGTAGTTGTAGAGCAGAGCGTAGATGAGGGATTGAGCAATGAGTACACAGTAGATCCAAAACATGCGGCTGGAGCCGTCTTTGATCTCCCGGAAGAGGTCCGCACCCCCAAAGTGGCGATCTGTATAAAAACAATAGAGCGGATTGTTAGGAAAGAAAGGTCAAGAGAAGGCTGCTGCTGCTGGTTGAGATGCCTACGTTTGTTGGAGAAGGTCTGGAACACATCCAAGCCCTCGAGGAAGGCATTGGTGCTGAACAGGAAAAAGGCCAAAGAGGTCACCCAGCTGCGAACAAAACTGAACACGTAAGGAATGATCAGCATCACCAGGCCGCCAATTTTCGCATAGAACACTGCAAATGATAATGGAGAAAGCAGATGGATGGAGCGTTCTGTGTGACTGATCGCAGGGCAGTCCTTACCTGAGTGAAAGCAAACAGAGATTAAGTACGAATATGACATGGTGGCCAATATGTAAAGCAGATACAATACAGCGACGTAAACAAAGCCAATCAGGCCCAGAGCCTTGTAGAAGTAGGCGGCGGTAAGGACGAACAGCAGGAGCGCTGCATAGCAGACAAAGCGAATGAGAAAGAAGGTGAGACCGTTCAGGAAACTCATGGGAGTGACTAGATTCAGAAACTCCTTGAGTCCGTTCTGTTTCTCCTCCACAAAGGGGACAACAAAAGTGCTCAGTAGAACGACATTGAAGAGGATGCTGCACAGTGTGCCAAAGAAGGTCAGACGATGGCTGTCCATGCTGCTAACCTCCAGGTTGGGCATGGAACTAAGCAGGAGCTCATAGTTGGGGTCCAGTTCCTGATACTTCATATACTGGCGGTCCAGTATGTGCTGCAGCGTGAGAAAACCCGCCCGTATGTAGTCGTCATCATCTGAAAGAGGGCATGACAAAGGGAGAGTTCGTTAAACCATCTGAAGAAAGAACAACTCGATCAACAATGTACGCACCCTTCTGATGATTGATCTCTTCGTCGTTTACGTATTGTTTCTTGGGCGAAATGCGCATTTGATTGGAGCTTAAACTATATTTGAACATTCCACCGGAGCCACGGCTGGGCACTTGATTAAAGTTGATGGCAAAACAGTTGCCCAGGCAGTTCTGCTCCATGTCCAGCTGCATATAGACGCTACTGTTGTAGATACGAAAACCTGCGAGAGAGATTTGGGTGGATTCCTGATCGGCAGATTCCATTCAAACTTACGCTCTGCGGGGATTTCCAGCTCCTGTCGCACCCTGTCCATAATATCATCGACATTATTAGTGCTGGGTGCAAAATATACATAGTCAAAGTCGTTTGCGGGAAAGTAAAGTTGTTTGAGAGTAACCTAAACAAAAGAAATATTGCGATTAAATTTCAATCCACTCACACGACTGTACATATATGTATGTACCACCCAGTGGACCACAAGACGATAGTAAAGCGGAACTATCGCAAAATGTTCGTAAACGGACTTAGAAATGATAAAAATCCGTGAGTTGTTACTGAAGCCTCGCTCAATGTCCGCAAGTGGACTCAAAAAAGAGCATTTAGCGGACAAAAACCTAAGCGTTTAGTATCGCACTATTGCAAACGGCCTTAAAATGAGTGAATGAACAAGAAGTAAAACATAACGGAGAAAATAGCTAGCCACCGGTAAACTCGCTAAATGTTCGCAGGCGGACTAAAAAAGACATTGAGCGGACAAAACCAGGGGACGTTTAGTCTCGCAAAATTACGCAAACGGGCTTAAAATTGAGTGAAAAATTGACAGGAAAGTAAAACATAACGGGAAAATAGCTAGCTACCGGTAAAGTATCGCCAAATGTTCGAGACGGACTTAGAAGAGCATTTATTGTACTCAAACCAAGCGTCGACTAAAGTCGCGCAAAATTATCGCAAACGGAATTAATAATGAGTGAAAACTGGAGCTGAAACTATTCAGTGTTCTTGGGTAGCAGTAAGATAGGTTTATAATTCCCAACTGCTTCTGGCTGTGAGGACATGGAAACCCCGATGCCGATCAGAGGCACTAACCATACAGTATATAGATGTGCCAGTTCATACAACGAAAGGGGCGCAGATAAGTTTGCAGAGTACGTTCCCCGATCTTCGGCTTTGGGAATGGCCGCGATCGGCTCATGACGGCACACGAGCCGACTGGCAGCAAGCATGCATGTGTTGTGTACGTGTACACTCCAAAATATATGATTGTATGCATACTATGCATTGCATAGAATAATTTTTAGCTGCCGAAACCGAACGCGGCCATTCCCATAGCCGAAGATCTGGGAACGTTCGCTGCAAGCTCAGCTGCGCCCCTTTCGTTGTATGAACTGGCACATCTATATACTGTATGGTTTGCGATATCGTTTACGAAGTTTTGGTCCACTGGGTAATATGTACATATGTACTACATATGTATGTACTTTCTTTGTGAACTTATTATCTACTCACATAGTCCTTTGGCTCGAACTCTTCCAAATTGTGCTTCACAGGCTTTACCGACCAGTGCAAGTATCCACAGAGCACTGCCGCTGACCCAATGAAGATGCACAATAAAGGCACCAAATTGAATCGCAAGTATAGAAAGTTTTTGCGCAGAAACACAAAGAACAAGGGGCTGCAACTACAAGCCATTGTTGTTCCACTACAATCAGCTTTCAACCAGTCTATTACTTTTTCCAGTTTTTTTTCGTGGGCGTCAACTTTATTGCAATCTTATCGTTAGTTTTAACCCCTCCCTGCAGCGGCAGGCGAATATTGGAGTATATACGTATATTTGTAAAAAGTGTTGCACCGAATTCTTTATCGCAAAAAATTTACGCATATGCCGATACATATCGATACATCGATAGGGTGGGTCTGTAACTATCGCATTCGTAAAGGAAAAACAAAATGAGCTCACAGCTATTTTTCCTTTTAAACGGGCCAACCTTTGGCGGAACCATCGAAGACGAGGGCGCGCCCCGGGGGGGGGGGGGGGGGGGGGGGGGGGGGGGGGGGGGGGGGGGGGGGGGGGGGGGGGGGGCGGGGGGGGGGGGCCATAAATTTAAACAAATTGAGCGACAAAGAGCGCCACAACTATATTTTAAACCACTATGTCCTGAACACCGCCGCCGAGAGCGAGTCGCGCAAGCACAAGCGCGACATCGATGTAATCCGGGAGAACCACCGCTTTCTGTGGGAGGACGATGAAGTCGACTGCGAATTGAGCTGGGAGCAACGATTGGCATTGCGCTACTACAAGAAACTATTCAAGGAATACTGCATTGCGGACTTGACTCGCTACAAGGAAAACAAGATAGCCCTCCGCTGGCGGACCGAGCATGAAGTTGTGGACGGAACAGGTCAATTCCAGTGCGGGAGCCGACACTGTGTGGAGCGGACCGATCTGCGCAGCTGGGAGGTGAACTTCAAGTACATCGAGCACGGTGTGCCCATGAATGCTCTGGTTAAGGTAGGATCTGATATATCAGATATGTCTGTATATACGTATATAAGCAATGCACTCTCGCAGTTACGGCTTTGTCCCACGCACACGGAGCAACTCAACTACCGCACCAAGAAGAACGAGCACAAAAAGCAGAGACGTAGGGAGAAGGATGAGCGCAGAGCTGGGAGACGGAACAAGCGACGTAAACTGGATAATACGGCCGAGGATGGGGAAGAGAAGGAGGGTAAGAAAGAGGAAGAGCCTGCGGTGCCAAAAGCAGATCAGGAAACATTGAACATTGATGCTGAGGAACCCACTTCCACCGCGGACGACCGGATTTGGCTCGAACAGCCCGATCTCAGCAAGGAACAACCCTCCAGGGAGCAAGAATTCGAAAGCTATCTGGAAGACCTTCTAATGTAAAATAGATAGCACGTTTATTTTGATTCAACGTAGACACTAGTGATCTTTTTAAAGTTACTGGCCGCGAGATGCGCTCGCTTATAGACTAAGATGTACATGCATACATACATCTCATCGTGTATTTTCTGGACTTTCCCGCATGTACATACACTCTCACATTTACATTTACAAGACTATTCACAATTATTTGTTAAAACCAACACCAAAAAGTTGAACTGGACAGTAAGGCTGTGACTCTAACTCTGTTTTTTTTTATACAATATATAGTGTGTGCTTTGTGTACCTAGAGTTCAATCGCAATCTGTTTATTGATCGAATGCAAGTCGGATACGATGCAGGTTCGAAAATACATTCTCATTCATTCGTTTCATTTGTTCGGTTCGTTTCGTTTCAACCCTAGCAACGCTCGACGTTAATCTAAATATAAACTGGAGAAAAAAACACTTTAAGATAAATATCCTTGACTGTTTACATTCGATGAATACAAAAATCACGATTGAGCACATCCGCTTGAACTAGGTGTTGCGACTGATCTAAAAGAATAGCATCGTTGTAGGGATTTGATTTATGGATCCTTCGGAAGGAGCTCGGCGAAGGCCTGAGTGGGCCTGAAGGCTTGCACCTCGGTGAACACCATTTCCCTCCACTTTTCCACGGGCAGCTCGTTCTCCTCGAAGCTCTGGTCGTACAAGGCCGCTGTCTGCTCGTCAGTGGGGTCATGGTACTTCTCCATATAGGGATGGGCCAGCGCCTGCTCGGCAGTGATGCGCTGGTCGGCATCCAGCTCCAGCATCTTCTCCAGCAGGTCGATCGCCAGCGGATTGGCCCCACGGAAGATGTCTCGGAAGTTCCGTCGCGGCATCACTGGCAGCGAGCGTATGTAGTTTCTGGCACTCTCCGACGAGATGCGGCTCATGAACTCCTCCGCCGGCGTGCCCAGCACCTCCATGATCAGGTTCAGCTGATGAATGTGATCGGTGCCGGGAAAGAGGGTGCGTCCGGTCAAGAGCTCGGCCATTATGCAGCCCACTGACCAAATGTCCACCGTCTTGTTGTAGTGCATCCAGTTGAGCATGATTTCCGGTGCCCGATACCATCTCGTGGCCACATAGCCAGTCATCTCGCTTTCTGCGGGTCGTGCCAGACCAAAATCCAAGATGCGCAGCTCGCAGTCCTCGTTCACCGCGATGTTGGACGGTTTCAGATCGCGATGGATCACCCCGGCACTGTGAATATACTTCAAGCCTCTTAAGATCTGGTATATCAGGAACTGAACGTGATCGTCGGACAACTTCTGCGTGCGTATAATGTTGTTTAAGTCCGCGTCCATGAGATGCGTCACCATGTACACCTGTTGGAACTGGTCCAGCGAGTCGGCGGGCTGTCCGGGATGGAAAACGTCCAGGAGACCGATCACATTCTCGTGCTCCATGTGCTTCAGTAGACGCAGCTCACGGTACGTTCGCTTAGCGTGCACGGCTGACTGAAAGGGCCGTGCCAGTTTCTTTATCGCTACCTTTGTGCTGGTTCCCCGGACAACGGCTTTGCACACCTGTCCGTAGGCGCCCTGCCCGACGGGCTGAAGGCTTTGGTATGTCTCCGGAATCTCCCACTCCGTGCGATTTATGTCCAGCTTGTAGAACTTCGGCATTTTTCGTGACATTTCGCTGGATTTGTGGCTTCTCTTCTTTTATTTTAACCCGTTTTTTTCGCTCGATTCTTTTTTAGTAGTTCTTCTTCTTCTTCGTATGTAATGTTATCTGAGGTTCACACTGCTCTGCCTCAACATTGCTGCAAATGAGTAATCAGTAGGATAAGGGGTGGGGTTGTTAGTACACTACACGTAATATATGAATTCGCTTAAAACAAATGCGTATTTTGTAAGATAATAGGTAAAATAAAGCTTAGTGGGCACTGCGTTTACAATATATTAGAGAAAAAATTATAAATAGTCGAACATTTTTCTACGTAAGCTATCGATAGCAGCATCAGCTGTTCGCTCATTTTGGCGTTTATGTGCTCGTTATGAGTTATTTAACAATAAATACAGTGAGTATTGTTTTAGAAGAATTTCCAGCCCAATTTTTTTTTTTGGTACAAATTATTTTATCTAAATGCCAAATTAATTCTTTATATGATAAGACATAAAAGTTCTTTTTTCAGTTTTTCAAATAGTTTTTAACGGAAAGAGCGACGATTTCGAAGTTTAAAATGTGAATGGTCTCTGCGCGTGTCATTCGCGCCATCCGACGAGAGTATGTGCCCTAGTGGAACCGGTATTAGTTTCAATCGGGAAACTGTCTCCGCAACATCAAGCTCGGATAACGCCACGCCGCGTAGCAACGTTTTTTGCACGAGTTTTTTTCACGTATATTTGTTCATTGACAAAAACTCAAGCTGCGTTCAGTACGAGCTCCTCCTCCCCCTCCTCAGTAATCCTCCACTGTGTGCTTGGTGTTGTGTTGTGTGGGGCGCGCTTGTGTAGCCGTGTGAGTGTGAGCGCTGGGCTGGCTTTGTGTGCAGAATAATTTTTGCAAACATTATGTAAATGCGCAAATTAAAGTTCAATCGACACTCAGCTCAGCAATCCGGTCGAGAGGCCATTTCAAATTCGAATCCAGATAACCTGGCGTTACATGCTGGAAAGTTACAGTTAACAACAAATAAACACAACACAGCCCAGAGACAACAGTTACACCCTGCGAAGGAACAGTACGAGATCAAGTAAAAAACCGTTAGTGCACAAAACAAATATGGCCGCAATGGCCGCCACCAGCGTCGTCGTTTTGGATCGTGGCAATAATACGACCTGCACCATCAACTTGCATGGTAAGCGCTACGGGACGGGACGGAGGGCCATCGAAAAGCCACAATTAATCATAATTAACCAAACACACAAAAAAAGCAACAACTGGAAAGAGCAACAATCAGCGCCGATTCTGCAATATCTGTTTGACGCCTCGCCAGAGTCGTTGGCGTTATTTTTAGCGCATGATTAGCTGGAACAGTCGGAACAGAACTCTTTTGGCAAGCATTTTATAGACTTTCGTTTTATGTGGAGTTCCAGAGTTAAAACCCGTTTTGCCGCCCCCATTGACGTAGTATTCGTTCTGCCCACCGAGGCGACCTCTAGAGGTTATCAGTTTGTACCGAAAACAACCTTGTCGATGTGCTGCTTTGGTGCTCCACTCTTGAGAGAGCTTTCAATTAGATTTCCAGAAGGCTATCTTATCGGCCAAGATCCCGCGATCAGCACCGAGCGAAAAGACCAGAGAGCTGTTGGGGGTAACGTAACGGGTTGGGGTAGCAGTTGCTGCAGACGACGAGATCAGCTTCAGTTTCAGCCCCGGCTTTGGCAGCGGCTCCTACTCGCAGAAAATTTCGATTAGGCGTTATATATGTGCATATATTCGTCTATATAGTACACATAGGTATGTGTATACCTATCTATGCGAGTATGTACATACATACGTACATATGTGCACCTATGTGTGTACCCAGAGTACTTTCAACAATTACGACTCGCTCTGTCTGGCCTACCCACGTCGGGTTCGTCGTCGTAGTTTGAGCAACAGACAGAGACACAGCACAGTTGGCACCGACAGCGACAGAACCTAGCGACGGTACTGCCATATGAACGATCCGTTGTCGACAAGTTTTTGAGTGCGCTTTGGACAAACTCCACTTGTTTGTTTCCTAAATCTGGGAATCCGAATCGCCGAACCGTCGAATCTGTGGCTCTGGCTCTGGCTCAACCAATCTCATCAAACATTGGGGCCAGCCTAAAGAGAGTTTTGGGAACAGCAGTCACGTCAGCAGAGCCGCCCACGCACCCTTCAAGTGTGCACCCACCAATTGGCCGTAGGCCACATCCACATCCATGCTACAGCCAGAGCCAAAGCGATGCCAAGCAAGATTTAACTGTACCAGAGCGTATGCCTCTGCGGCTGCCTCGGCTGTCTCGCTCGTCTCCAGTCAGTCTCAGTCAGTCTCAGCCAGTTCACTTGCAGGCCAGCTAAGAGTACTTCGGGCTGTATGTGTGAGTCTGGGTCTGGGTATGTGGGTTAGAAGTGACGCACACATGTACTTGGGCCACTGCAGTTGGCTGCCGTTGCCGTAGATGTTGCTGTAGTTGTTGCCACAGTTGATCCATCTTCGATTCATTCCATTCATTGATATGCCTCCTCAGACTCTTGCCCGCTCTGTTATGTGCAGATCAGTCGTTTAACATGGATGACTCTCATTCTCAGGCCAATCTAAGCCTAATAGAATACATTTATCCCAGACTAACATTGAAAAATAATTAATAAATATTTAACATATCTGAATCTCCTTTGCAGGTGCCACAGTTGTCTCCTGGCGAGTGAACAACCAGGAGCAGTTGTTCGTTAGGTGAGTAAACCCAAAGAACCCTCGGTCGCACTCTTTAAGCATCGCATCGCATCGCTCATACGCCCGAGCGGCCCGACTTTAAGCTCGAACTTACGCAAGCCCACGGTATGCGCTGGTCATGCAACCAAAAAAGTGATTTGCAAAGTTTCCAACTCACACCGCACCGGGGGAGGAGAGGGAAAAAGGAGAACTGGCCACAAAGGACGTGAACGGAGAGCGGGAAGGGAAGGGAAGCGCAGAGGAGCGGGAGCAGCCTTAGCCATTCTGTTTGGCGGCAAAATGTTTTTGTATGACACCCAACAAAAAACATGTCGGGACCGAGCGACGGCCCCAAACGTCGAATCAACGAACCGAACCGAACCAAAACAGAAGGGAATGGAACGGATAGGGAATGCACTGCACTGCCGCTTGCATTCAAACAGTGGACAGCAGCGCCGGGGAGGCAGCTATCCCCCTCCTTCTCCATTATGGGGCCTCTTTTTTCGCACTGTTGCTGCTGCCTACTGCTGTTCTGTATTCTCTCTCCGCCCTCCCTCTCCCAGTCCACTCCTTCTCGGCCACGTTGTGGCAAAACAATGTGCAAGTTTTTATGAATGGAGTTTTTGGCGCGGCAGAGCTAGATCGATAAGTCCCCACTGCAGCTCTGCTCTGTTCTCACCTCACGCCATTCCCCTCTCCGCACCCATGCACATTTGCCGGCACAGTGGAGCAAACGCGTAAACTTCCATTCTCAATTATCGTATACTTGGACCCACTTTCGTGCGGTGTATTGCTTTTTGTTGCTCACACGCACACAGCTGCTACTCCCACACAGACACACACATAAAGCACGGACAAGCTTTGGCTTCTCGCTCTCGCTCACTCCTTTCGTTTTCCCCCGTTTTCGTCGACTGCTCTGTCGCTACTTTTCGACTGTTTTTGTGGCTCTCAGTCGCATTTGGAAACCCACTAAAAACACCCGGCATTGGGGGCCATGGCAATGGAAGGATGAAGCTGAAAACTAAATGAATTACAATAGTTTCCTGGTGCTATCAGAGAACATTTAAATACATTCTACGATTTCAAATGAAAAGAAACGAAAAACTTGCCAAACAAAAACTCCTAAAATCCGAGAATACCTCCATACACTGATTAACAAAAGTATTTGCAGCTTAAGCTCAGACTTGTACGCACTGGAATTACTTTTATGATGTCACTCTAAAGAGATATTATTATTATTTATTAATAACAAGAGTTTTAACTTGGGAATTGCGAGTTGTTGTCTAGGTATTCCCTAACAAAAATGGAATGTAAGCTTCATAGTAGTTATCCGATTCGGATATAATATGAAAGAGCAAACCTACAGCCTGTTGATTTTTACTGGAATATCTTTAGAAAAATATAAATGTAAATATCTTAATACATACCCTCATCCGCGAGGGTATAGCAAGGCTGTGTCTGTTAGATTCATCTACAAATATAAAGGAATACTAAATTTAAAGAGTATAAATGTTCGTTCAAGTTGGACTTGGTGGAATTATTTCGTCACTCACTGTGTAATATATAGTATATATGCATCGAAACACCTCCCCCTCCCTGCACCAAATCCCCAACTCTAAACTCGAATATTAATGACAATTGCCATGTCAAATGCTTTCCACAACTGAAGGAGCTCACAAATGATGCACAGAAGCAGCAGAGGAGCTGAACTGAGCTGCTTGATGGATGCGCCGGCAAATTAGCTGGGAAGAAAAGCAAAGCAGGTCCAGACTCGACTCCGGGCACCGTCGTCGCCAGCATCGGTAGCCAGGGAAAAAACAAGAAACAAAACAAAACTAAAAAAAACATGAAAAAAGGGGCAAGGAGCATTTTGCCAGACACTTTTTTCTGCTAATAGCATTTCTGAATTTCTGAATGTCTGCGCCCGAGACCGTCGCTGTCTGCTAGCGTTTTTATGGCTGAAATATTTTCGAGTAGCTCTTACCGAATTAATCGACTCTTCCTTCTCCGTTTTCCTTGCAGCAAGCTGGCCTCATTCGATGGCAAGAAGGCGATACGTGGCGGGATTCCCTTTGTCTTTCGTAAGTTCGGAAGGTGACAGGAGCTGTCCTGTATCATAAGCATTTCCCTTGATCTTGCAGCTCAGTTTGGCCCTTGGTCCTTTGGGCCACAGCATGGATTCGCCAGAATCACGCGTTGGCATCTGGAGCGGGCGCCGGATAGGCTGCACAACGGCGACGTCGAGGCCATATTCTCGTTGATGGACAACGAGTTCACGCGCTCCATCTGGAACTACCAGTAGGTCGTCGCTAGATCCAAGAGATTCATGTTTGATCTGACTCTGTTACCCCCCCCTTGTAACGTACGAGTAGGTTTCGCATCACCTACCGCCTCATTCTGCGCGAGAAGGAACTCCACTTCCACATTGGCGTCTACAACCCGAGCAAAGAGCTGAGCTTCTCCTTCAACATGCTGCTGCACACCTATTTGAAGGTTCCAGATGTGCGCCGCTGCCAGATCACGGGCCTGCACGGCTGCCACTTCATCGACAAGACGCGGGAGAACGCCCTGTACCAGGAGGGGCGCGAGGTGGTAACCGTCAACGAGTGGACCGATCGAATCTACCAGCACACACCGCAGGAGCACGTCATCACCAACGTGGTCTCCGGCCGGAAGATGAGACTGCACAAGTACAATTTCCCCGACACAGGTGAGTCGAACGGACAGGACCGAAGGAATCTTTGAAATTATTCCTATATCTATATATTTTATATTTAATCTGTCCAGTCATTTGGAATCCCTGGATCGATCGATCGCGCGAGATGAGCGACTTTGGCGATGACGAGTTCCCCAACATGCTCTGCGTGGAGGCGGGCAATGTGACCTCTCCCGTCATCCTGCTTCCGGGCACAGCGTTCGAGGCCAGCCAGATCCTTCAGGTAGAACAATCGGTGGAATGCTTAACGTGAATCCTGAACTTTGAATCCTAAATCCCACATCCCATCCCCTAACGCACAGCAATTCAAGTGTCCCTATGAACTAGTAATTAATGCACCCAAGAAATCAAGAAAGAAGTCCAAGTCCCGCCCATAGCCATCTCCCGTACTCGCTTACACCTCCTCATGACAAATGAAATTGTTTACTTTGCTTGCGCAGATCATCATCGAGGGGAATGTCAGTCGCAAAACCAAAAGGAATCGCTAGCGTTTGAAGAATCGGAACCCCCTGAGGTAAACCGATTCGCAACAAACTTAAAGCGCACTTTTTCACGGAGATCCTCCCCTCCCCAAAGGTGGAGGACAGGCAAGGATAGAAGCAGGATGCAGAGGCAACGGGAGAGATAGAACACAGTTTGGTTGTTCCCGCATGGAATTTAGAATCTAACCTAGTACATCTTAAGTAATCGTAAATCCTTCTCTAGTAATAGCAATAGCAATGTTTTGTGCAAAGAAATCAAAGTGAAAGTACTTCCTAACCTACTCGTGGTGTTCCATCCTTATTTCGTGCCTACTTGGAACCGACTTCACATTTATCGTAAATGGGAAGTTTCAGCATTCCCAGCCCTAAAATATATGTGCATTCCTTTGGCTATGCCGGGCCTTCGGATCTGGAAGTGACGGCGCCCTATATGTGTTTAGCCTGAGATTTTTCGCGTCTTAGAAATGCAATGCTTTAGGGAATTATACACACTCGTATAGATGATGGACCATAATTTATGTGAGTCCTTCTAGTCTTTCACAAGTGTATGGTGGTACGGATAGTTCGGTTTCATTAAAGTCGGAAGAAAGAACAGAAGAAAAGGCATGGTCTTCCCCAATTGTATTCTGATATGGCTTGACGCTCTCCAAAAGACCCACTAAATGGGCACTTGCATTAACTAAAGTTAAACTAATGTGTTGGCTTCCAATTGATAAACTTGTATACGGTTGAATATAGAAAACGTACTTATATTTTTTAAGTTTAATCAATGTAAAATACTAATAGCAATTATCTATGCCAATTTATAAAATAAACCATCTATAAATATATGTATGTATGTATGTACATCCGTGTCGTTTAAGAATATTTGTTAAGCAAACAAGAATTTTTACTATCTACTCACTAGATAGTATAACATAGCCTATGTTCGCAAAGAGTAAGACAAAAACTTTTTCTGTAAAATTCGATTCAAGACGATGTCAGTTAAAGACCGATTACAACCGAAATGCGGACACTATGTAGCTGCAGGCGAAGCATAGGAGAGCACCTTATGTAGATGCTACTTATAAAAGGGCGGGATAAAGGATAAAACATTCAGTATATATGCACATAGTTGTATCACATCACGCAAGCAAAACGTCCCATCAGAATTTTCTGCAATCTCTCCCATAAGCCTTCGGGATATTCTAAGCTTCGCGGGGAGTTTTCAAACGAAAATTCAATTTCGATTTCTTCTACATTCCATAGCTAGTCTCGGTCTGCGTGGCTATTCACATCGCTTGTAAATCAAAGATCTAATCAAAGATATATATCCAACGTGCAGCCAAGTGAAAGATTATACAGTTAAGCTTAGTTTATTTGATTTAGTTTGTTGTTTTATATCGTTTCGTTTGCTTAGATTAGATTCTTTACATACATGTATAAATTAGGCATTTCTAGAACGTATCCTAAACGCAATGCTCTCGCGAATTGAGCCACCTCCCTCCGGGGAGACATACTTAGCATCGTGTCGTCGTCTCAGCAGTTGGCTACTCAAATGGGTTTTGTATGTGGTTGGTGTGTGTGGTGCCTTTGGAAGCTGGGACGAGAAGGGGAATCGATAGCACACTTTACACGGTCGTGGAGTTCGGGGGCAGCTGTTGAGGGACGAGACTTGTACAGTTTCTCTATAAATATGTATATGATCGAATGATATTGCGGGGATAGTTTGGTGCACAGCGTTGTGAGAGGGGGCTCCAGGAGAGAGCTGAGAGCCTCCTTAGTCAATCTTCACAGCCCCATAGATCCTCAGGATGAAAACATAGGCAGCGAAGAATCCAATCGAGCCGGTCAGCAACCAGAAAGTGAGCACCATGAGACCTAATGGACGGAAAAGAAGTACAGTGCATCCCTTCAGCAGACATCAATTGATTGGACATCGTAGGGTCCGCCACTTACCTGTGTAGCCCAAGTAGAGGAGCGTGGGTATGAACTCTGTGATCTCCAGCTTGGTGAAGAAGTAGAATATGCTATAGAAGAGCACGTAGACGGCCGAGCCGCCGGACACAATGAAGCTGCGCCACCACCAGCGATAGTCCTGCATTAGATACATTAATAAATCAAGCAATCAATCAAACAATCAACGATTAACCCAAATCCTACCTCGCCGCACAACTGGAAATAGGTCATGACTATGGAGATCTGGGCACAGCTAACAACTAGAATGCAAAACACGAGGAACAGAAATCCAAACAGATAGTAGAACTGATTCTGCCAGATGGCCGTGAAAACAAAGAAGAGCTCGATGAAGACAGCTCCAAAGGGTAGTATCCCAGCCATTAGAGTGCTGCAGAGTGTCAAAGGAAAACCAGAACATGGGACAGTCAGTAAAGAGAAGTGCAAGATTCAAAAGACTCCAAAGCTCACCTCAGGATTGCATTCATGTACCAGTGCTGGGCGGGCACCTGGCGGGGTATCATGTTAGTGCGCACTGGATGCTGGTACGGCTGCTTGCGGTAGCCAAAGTAAAAGCCGAGGTAGACCAGGGGCACGGAAATGCCAAACCACAGCAACAGCAGAGAGATCATAGTGGTAAAGGGCACAGCGCCGCTCGAGGACTTGTCCCAAATGAAGAAATTCAAGAAGAATCCGGTGCTGCAAGACAATAAATGATGGGTAATGGGTGAAGATTGGTGAAGATGGTTATTCCACAGTTTAAAACTCACCCAAAGACGATGCCCGGGTAGAGGGTGGCTGTAAGGAAAGCTGCTCGCTTCCATTCGCGACCCTTCATCGTCTTGTAGAGCCGTGCCGCATAGAAGCCGGCAATGGTGCCCATGAAGACGTACATGAAGATGCCCGAGGTCATTAGAGCGCCGCGTGACGAGGGCGAGAGCATGCCTAGCATGGCAAAGAAAATGGTAATCAGGGCCATGAAGAATATTTGAATGCCGCTGCCAATGATGGCGGAGAACAGACGGGTGTTTTTGGGCGGACGGAACACGTCGCCATGCACCAGCTTCCAGCCAGTCTCCTCCAGAGTGTCCTCGATGTTGTCGTCCGTGTTGTAGCGGGCGATGTCACGGCGCAAGGTGCGGATCATGATCATGGTGAGAATACCGGAGAGGAAGAACACCACAACGAGAGAGTTGATGATGCTGAACCAATGGATCTGGACGTCGCGCATGCCCAGATATATGTCCCAGCGGGAGGCCCAGCTGACTTTGGACTCCTTCCATTCGACGGAGTACGTGAAGTAGAGCTGCGTCTCGCCCAATAGATTCACCAGCTGCGGCCGGGCGCTATCCGGGAAGTTGCAAGTGTTGCCGTGGAACTTGAGCTCCTTGTGATTGACGGAAAAAGTCTCCACCTCGAAGCCGACCACGCGATACTTGTCCTTCGAGTGCATGTGGTAGGACAGAATGAACTTGAGGTGGTTGTTGATGTAAATGTTCTCCCCCCCATCCACCTGGCCCAGTCGATAGCCATGCTCGTAGGTCACCTCAGACGGATTGTTTGCGTTTACAATCCTGGTGGCCACCGGAAGGTTGTCCACCAATAGATGGACAAAGTACTCGTGCTGGATCCGCTCCGCCACCAGGGCCGAGTCCTCTTTGCTCCAGTTGAGCGGTCTGTCCTTCTGATTGCACAGCAGTCGGCAGTTGATCTGCTGGTTCATCCTCAGTTCGTAAGGAGTATTCACTATGCGATCTCCCCTCAGCACCTCTCCAAGGTTCTCCGACTTGAAGATGAACGTGCCGTTTTTCGGATTGCAAAACCTCAGCGAGTAGTACTGATAAGGCAGCTGAGTGCGACTGCTGGTCATTTTCACAGCCTTCACATCGATTTTTTGATCCTGGACAAACTCAACCGGCGCCACGCCGGGAACATAGAAGCAATCCACCACGCCATACCCAAGGATCGCCAGCACGAACAGCAGCAACCATGGCTTAGCCACAGCCACGTACTGCAACCGAAAACAAAATTTAACAAAACTTCTTTATTCCTATTTGTTCTGGTTGCGTGTCCCTTTGCTTTGCCTACGTCGCAGCCCGTCGTCGCATAGCATTGGCCGGCAAGGCAAGGGTGAACGCTTCAGAGAAACTGTGCCGCACTCACCTGCATGGTTGGTGGTTGGATGCGGTTCAATATACTACCAAAATTACCACTAAATGAAGTTGTGAATTAAATGTGCAATATATTTTGTATATTTTTTGTCTCCTTCGCTGACAAATCTTCAGACGGTCAGTGTGGCACAATTCGCACAGACATAGTGTTGGAAATTTAATGAAATAACCCAGCAAACCAAACGCTCGCAAATGAAATGGCAGTTATCGGTATCTATGAAAGAACAATGAAACTATCAATGAAATAATGAAACGCAGTTATCGGTATCAATGAAAGAACAATGAAAATATCAATGAAATAATGAAACGCAGTTATCGGTATCAATGAAATTTATGCTACCCGTTGGTTTTCTGGGTGATCTGAGTACGGTCCCACCTACGTTACGATAACGATAGCCCGTCTCAACCTAGCGATAGGCATAACGCAGCTTAAAAAAAAAAACCACAAATAATGTGTTTCATATCTCATAGCTCTTAGCTCTTTTTAGTTTTTTGAATAATTACAACGAACAGTGTACCCTCGCTCCCCCGCCCACACATTTTGCTTTAGTTTGCATTGTTCTACACCCACCCCATTGTTGTTTCTGTTCTGTTGTTTTGTTGGTCCACTTGTGCAAGGACAAGTGTCGTCCTTAAAAGGCGCAACAATTTACCCCGCGCGCAACAAGGTGCCCTGACTTGATCCGAGGGTTGAGTCGAAGGAAAATCAATAAATAGTAACGAAAAAGTGCATGCAAGAGGTGTTACTGTTGTTGCTTCCGCTGCTGCTGTTGCTGTCGTTGTGCATGTATACTAAACTTTCTTTTTCTAGGGCCGCCACTGAACACCAAACAAAAGCGAACACTCTAGCCCTAATATTATGGACAACGCAGGCGACGACAGCGACAACGATGTGGTCACCGATTTCCTAAACTCCAACTGCAGCGAGACTGAGCCGAGGACCACGTCCGTCATCAATGGTGGCTCCGCGGGGCGCGTCACCGTAGAAAGCCAAAACTACTGCATACCTGTTATCAACGCACCTGTTCCAGCTGCTGTTCCAGCTCTGGCTCCAACTTCGACAACTACTCCTGCTTCTGCCTCTCTCAATAATAACAACACTAGCAGCAACAACAATATCCACAACATGATACCCATAATCAATGTGACCCCGCACAGCCCAGCCCTGGCCTCCAAGTACAACAACATATTCGAGGACACCCTCAGCCAGCTGCAGAATATCCGCGAAACGGTGGTGCAGATGAAGAACTCCTCCTCCAGCGGCCAGCACATGCAGGAGGGCCTCGCCAATCATGGCCTGCTCAGTGCCGCCATTCTCAGCGCCTCGTTGCCCGACCTCAGTGGCAGTGGTCTCAGTGGCAACAATGCCTCCTCCCATTACGCCATGTGGTCATCAACGGCGCCCCAACAGTGTATGCTGCTGCACGCGGATCGGCGAAAGTCGTGGACGGCTGTGGACGATGCTAGTGCTGGCGGGGATTGCACCAACAAGAGCGTCAGCCTCTCCAGTCTGGACAGCGAGGAGCAGGAGACGATCCGCGTCACCGAGCAGAGGCGTCGCTCAGCACGAAACAGCACTGGAGGTAGATATAATACAATATGTATTTTTCACACTATAAGACTGTCTGGCTGTCCGATTGGTGTTTCTACTTGTACACAAAAGAGCCGAGCCATAAAGGTGGAAAACCAATTATAAATTGTGTGTGTAGTTCCCACCTTTACGATACAGTTTAAAGCAAACTGAAGGCCTGAGGCATTGAGGTGTACCCCAATAACAAATAGATAAGATAGAGTATTTCTCTGTGGAATGGATATGCCCTGTGATCCGCTGTGTAGGGGCCAGTCCCAGGCAAAGTTAGTTTCGATTTCGATAAGGAATTCCACAAAAGCCCCTTATCTCGGGGTAGTAGCACCTGTAGTACCTCTACGGGAAATGGCACTGCCATTGTCACGCAGACCAGACTACCGATTAGTAACTACCACTGCCACTGCCCGCTTCTCTCTGATTCCTGACTCTCCTCCGTTTCGGTTTCTGTTACAGGAATTTCCACCCACTCCCTGAACGAGGCGGAATTGGCCCGCGACTTTGAGCGGATAGCGGTAAAGAGGAGTCTGGCCACGGAGATCATCAGTCGGATACCTCTGCAGAAGAGCATCTCGACGTCGTCGATCATAGCCAAGGAGGACATCAAGGCTTTGGCCCGCCACCTGACGGACAGCGAGGATGAGAATCAAAGCCTGCTGCGCTCCCATACCAAGATCGAGGTGTACGACAACGTAGAAAAGCGACCCAAGCGCGGATCCCTCTTCTTCCGCAAGAAGAAGCCTAAGGCAAAGACGAAGTCTCTGGTTGGGGGCCAGCTGAGCGCCTGTGACGTTTGTGGGGCAAATATCACGCTGGCCCAGATCAAGGAGCATCACCTGGACTGCAAGACGAGGAGGATGGCAGCGGGTGGCCAGGACTACTACGACGGGCCGGATGCGACCACCTTCAGCAACCCCGAGGACCAGCCGCTGATACGGTCAGAGCTGCAGTTCCTCAACGATCCGCCCATCGAGGCCCAGGACCTGGGCGCCGATCCTGCTCTGGGCATTGTCCTGAAAGAGCACGACTCGTGGACTCCTGGTGTGCCCAAGGAGCTGCTCAAGACGCTCAAGGAGCTGCAGATCAAGCGGCAGGAGCACATTTACGAGTTCATCATGACCGAGAAGCACCACTGCCAGACCCTGATCGTCATGCAGAAGGTGTTCGTTGAGAGCCTGGAGCGGCACTTCCCCGCGCTCAACCTCAACAGCATGTTCCCGCGCCTGCAACAACTCACCGACCTGCACACCTGCTTCCTGCGTCACTTGCGCCAGAAACAGCGGGAGCAGCCCGTCGTCGACAGCATTGCGGACAATCTGCTGGACTTCTTCTCGCTGGAGCAGGCCCAGTGCCTCCGGCTGGCCTACGGCGAGTTCTGCGCCAACCACCGCAGTGCCCTCGAGCAGTTCAAGCTCTGCCTGACGGAGCCCAGCTTCGCCGAGTGGTACAAGCACTGCCTCCAGAATCCGCTGCTCAAGAAGAAGGGCATCCCCGAGTGCATTCTGTTCGTGACGCAACGCCTCACCAAGTATCCGCTGCTGATCGAGCCGCTGCTGAAGAGTGCGCGCGACAACAAGCTGGAGACGGACAAGCTACAGCATGCCCTCAACCTGGTCAAATCGCTTCTCGTGGACGTGGATGCCTGCGTGGCGGAAAAGGAGCTGCGCGAGCGCCAGCTGGAGATCTATGGCCGAGTGGACGCCAAGTCGTTTTCCATATACAAGAACAAGCCGTTCCGCAAGGCGGAGCTGGGCGTGGAGTCGCGACGGCGCCTGAAGTTCGACGGCTTGGCCACCCTCATGCAGGGCAGGGCCAAGACACAGCTCGTCCTGGTGGTGGTGCTCACCGATTGCCTGTGCTTCCTCAGCGAGAACTCGGGCCACAACAAGTACAGCTTCTTCACGCCCGAGCACAAGGCCGGGGTGGTGCCGCTGCAAAAGCTGCTGATCCGCGAGAAGGCCGGCACCGAGTCGCGGGGCATCTACATCATCAGCTCCAACCCGGACTTTCCCGAGATGTACGAACTGAAGGTGCAGACGCCAAAGGACAAGAACGCCTGGATCCAGAGCATCCGCCAGGCCGTGCTCGACTGCCCGGCCACGGACATCATCGAGGCCGAGGATCTCACGGCCGAGGAGAAGCTGAGGATCGGGGTCAACAAGCGTGAGACCATTGAGAAGATGCGCCAAAAGGATATCGAGCAGGCCCTCCTGCTCGAGGAGAAGTTGATGCTGCAGCTTAATCTGCTCAAGGAGCAGCATCCGTTTGGAGACGTGACCGGCTCCTCCAACGGCAGCGCCGCCAACTTTCTGGCCGCCCTCGGCTCGTACAAGGATCTGGTCAGCGCTGACTGCGACACGGGCGAGCTCTGGCGCCGGGTCCTGAACACTGTGCAGGACATCAGCCAGCTGGCGTCCACCATATACACGGCCGCCACGGGTCTGCCTGTCTCCCGCACCCTCAGCAGCGTGGGCGAGAAGCAGAGCGACCAGTACGCCTCCCCCACCCTGCCCAAGCGTGCGGAGACGTTCGCTGGCTTCGATGAGAAGCGGGGGAAGCTGGGATCAAAGCTGGTGCTGACGCCACGCCTCCAAGAGCTGGAAGAGACCAAGCGGGAGACCAAGAGCACAGCGAGTGGAGGTGCAGGTGCAGTGCCGGTGGCCGAGGAGCCATTAGAGAGCAACTATGCCGTGCTGCAGGTGTCGCATCATCTGCACACCCTCCTGTGCATCATCTCGCAGCAGATGACCAGCATCCAGAGCCTTCAGCTGCAGTTGGCCTTGTACCGGGAGAGTCCCAGAACCAGCGCGTACACGCACAAGGACCAGTTGGAGGAGCTTCGCAACCTTCAGGACAAGCTTCAGGAGGAGAAGACCGCCTGGCATCGCCAGAAGCTGCAACAGCAGGAGGAGCTGACCGAGATGAGGGCCCAGCAGCTTCAGCTGCAGCAGGAGATCAAGGCCGAGCAGGAGGATGTGCGCCAGCAACGGGAGCAGCTCTACCGCAAGATGGAGCTGCTCTCCAGCCAGGGTCTTTTACTATCTCCCAGCACCCCGCTGCCGCCTATGCCGGTGGCCTCCAATCACCAATCCAATCCTCCTCCTGCTCCTCCGCTGGGGGACGACAGCCACGAGACAGACAACGGCCTGGGATTGGCGATCGGAACCCCCAGCGTGGTCGGAACCACGGACCGAAGGAAGGAGAAGTGGCTGAGCGGCTCCTCCAACTGCAAGACCCCGCCAGTCAATCTCCTCAGCGCCAACAATGCGCCCAAGGCCAATTCGAGTCTGGTCAAGCAGAAGCTGCCCATGAAGCTCTCCTCGCTCTCTTCAAGCGGCAATTCCAGCGCCAGCTCCCGCGTCGACAAGTCCGCCAGCTTCAACAACAGCTCATCAGCCTCGCCAGCCCCCTCCGCCGGAAGTGTGCAGCAAATGTTCCCCCTCAAACTGGCCGACAGACGGCACGCAGCGGCGGCGGCGGCCACACCCACTTCCACTCCCCCTGCAACGACCTTGGTGCCGCAGCACTCGCGCACGGGCAGCTCGCCAGCGATTATACAGCAGACAACGACAGGCACAGGCACAGGCACAGTGACGGTCACAGCCCCCACTGCGGTCGTAACTAGAGCAGAGTCCGCCCACTATAGCCAGAGGACGCCGACGAGCAGTCGAACGGGCATGGCACGGACAGGAGGACACGCGGGGACGGGTACGGCACCCCGAGCCAAGCCCGAGGAGGAGGAGATCTACTTCTGACGCCAGTTCACGCCAGAAGTCGAAATCTAAAGTCTTAAAGATATGAATCTACTATATATGCTATAGTACTTATATATAGCTGAAGAGATGTGTAGCACATTCCGCGTTCCAAGTTCCAAATCCAATCCAATCCGATGGCTTCTATAAATGTGTGTGTGTATGTGTGTGCATCTTCCAGCTGTTGTCCCCTGCAAGTCCTGGCCAAGGCTACGGAATGCATAATTTAAGTGATCTTATTGTACTTAATGGTATTATATTCTTCGCATACTTCCAGCATCTCAAATTGTTCAGTAATGTAGCTTAACTATTTATTAACTTGACGTTTATTTATATATGTACTCAAAAAACAAGAAGGGACTTTTTCCGAAAACAACAAACATCCACGTACATATGTACCCGTATGTGGTGTGGCCTTACGAATTTTAACTGTTTTACCATTCAAAGAACTATCTTCCCAATGTCTACGACATCTGTCAACAGAGAGATCTCCCTTAAGTATACCTAGGCATGTAATACGATATATACGATTGATATATATGGATATGTAACATTGATGACATTCCATTCGAAATTCCAAACTATTTTCACTCAGTTTCCTGTTGCTTAAACTACGATACTTATACCTACCTACATATATACAATGTACATAAATACAAATCTCTCTGTGTGTGTGTATTTTACATATTCGTACCCGTATCCGCATCTCTATATCGTGTGTTATAATATATCTGAATGTATAGACAACTTGTGACAAGCTTGTAACCAATTGTGGAGGATCCACATCCACTTGATCCCCCACATCTTTGCAATATTTTAAGCTCGATCCAATAAATGTTTAAAAACACTAATCCAATCCAATCCGCTCGATCAATCACATATCGAAATCATTCTTGCGGGGGCACTTGTTTCGGGTGTGCCCCTCCTGGCGGCACAGACCGCAGCGTCGCGATTTATTGCCATCAGGTGCGGGTGGCTTGGCTTGGGGTTTACGATTGCCCGTGCCCCAAGAATATGTACTGCCGGATCCTGTTGTGGCCATATTTGATGAGTAATGCATTTTATTTATTGGAAACTCTGACTTACCTGGGTTCTCATCCTCATCTCCCCACTTGAAGAAGCCGCAGGACTTCTCCCGCGTGGGACAGGCATAGAACGGTCTGCCCTGATTGGGTCCGTCCCTGCGCACAGTGAGGCTGCTGGCCAGCTGGCCGCAGTTGCACTTCAGCTCCTCCCCGCCGGGCGCTGTCTGGGTTATGGTGACAGTGCTGCTGGAGTTGGAGCGCATCTGTGTGCCGCCTCGATGGGCGTTCTGTTGATTGTTGGGCAGGGTGGCCACCCGATTCATGTTCCACGTCGATCCACTGCTCTTGGCGCTGCTGCCGAAGGAGGAGCTTCCTGCGGACGTTGTTGGCTGCTCGTCCGCCCACTGGAAGAACTGGCACTCATTGGGCTTGGGACACTTGTAGAACTGTCGTCCCTGGTTGGGTCCATCGCGACGCACGGTGTGCTGCCGAGCTGGCTGATGGCATCCGCTGCAGAGCACTGCGTGGGAGGTTGTGGGAGCAGCAGCCGGAGCATCCCATTCCGCGCTGTTCCTTTTCGCCCGTTTGGCTGCCGGTTTCGGAGGAGGCGTGGGAGCGGCAGCCGCGCGTTCTCGAGTGCCCCACGGCATGGGCTTCTCGTCCGCTGCATACTGCTTGCTAATCCAGGAGGACAGACTCGTGTCCAGCTCATCGGCCACGTTGTTATTCCCACGAGAGTTTCTTGTTCCCGTGCCCGAGCTAATCAATGCCTCAAATTCCGCGTCATCGTCGGCAGCAAAAGCGGCGGCTATATCATCATCAAAATCAATCACTGCAGTCCCCGTGGATGGCCCATTCTCCGGAGCATTGCCCGACTCAACGGATACCGCGGCCGCCAGCATGGCCTCCTCGAAGCCATCGTTGCTGTCGAAGAATCCATCCATTCCTGCACTCTCTGGATTGCTGGCACTGCTGAAATAGTTGCGAATGCTTCCCGTGGTTTTTGTGGTTTTTTTCGACTTGGGTGCAGTGGATGGCTTCTTGCTTTTGGCTGGTGCTTTTGTGGTAGAAGATCCTGATGCGGCTGCTCCATCTCTATAGCTGTTCCCACTCCAGACGCCAGCATTTGAGGGATTACTACCTCCACATCCAGGACCTCTTCCACCCGGTCCTCCACCACCTCCAGGACCTCGTCTGCCAGGTCCTCCGCCACCACCGGGGCCACCACCTCCTCCGGGACCACCACCACCTCCTCCCGATCCCACAATACCTCCAACACGTTTCACAGAATCCAAGTTAATGTTGAACGTGGTCCGGAAGAGGCTATCGCAGGGCAAGCAGGTCTTGTACCAACCATTGGGCGTGTTGAAGACTCCCCGGTAGTAGGGTGTGCTCAGGCGGAACTTGAGCAGGCGGTGGCCAGCGCCACAGGTGGGGCAGCATTCGTCCAGCACGGAGACCTCCTTGCACTCCGCCGGCAGCCAGACGACGTTCTTGCAGTCGGGAAAGTTGTTGCAGCCGATGTACCAGCCCTGCTGGTTCTTCTTGGGCTTGAGGGCCAGCGGAGCCTCGTCGCATTTGGGGCACTGGAAGAGCGTCTGCATTGTGGGCTGATTGTGGCCGCCTGCTGTCTGGCCTGCCGCTGGCGACTCGTTGATGCGTGCCGATATCTTTTCGTCCATGGCCGTGATCTTGTCGGTGATCTGCTGGTAGGAGAGCTTGTACTTGGCTATCTGTTCGGTGAGCACGAGCTGCGGGTCTTTCTGGCCCACACAGATGAGCTTCAGATCGGCCTCAAACTCGGCGCGCAGCTGGGGCTTGGCCAGAGCCAGCTCCATGGCATCGTAGCCCTCGTACAGACCCATGCCAATGACACCCGGCACCAGAGCGCCCTTGTCCAGGACCCCAATGTATCCGCGCTCCTTGATGGTGTTGATGTGCTCGGCGTGCGTGGCGTCCGTCCCAATGCCGTGCTTCTCCATCAGCGCAATGAGATCCGCCTCGGTCAGCAGGGGCGGGGCAGTGGTGGCCCCCTCGTGCAACGTAACCTCCGTGGGCTCGAAGCGCTGCTCCTGCTCGTAGTGGTGGATCTTCTTGGCGTTCCAATTTTCGTACACGTACACGTCCAGGTAGTTCCGCTCGTGGATGACCAGTCCGTTGGCTGTGAACTTCTCCCCCGCGATGTCTATATTCACGAGCGTCTCGGACCCAACGGCGTCCTTGCTGACGCAGGCGAGGAAGTGCCGCACAACCAGTTCGTAGACGCGTGCCTCGTTTCCCTGCAGATCTGAAGCAGAAATGTTGATGAACATCTGAAGAGAATTTCTGTTGAGTTTACTCACTGTCCGCGCCCTTGGTGGGGTGGATGGGAGGATGTGCCTGATCCGATTTGGTGCCGTTGCGAGGATTCGGGCCCCAGTCCAGTACGCGCTGGGCAAAGGCTCCCCAGTCCCTGTGGCCCGTCTGCAGCTGCACGAGCGGGGCCAGCTCGAACTCCTTGGAGAACTGGTTGGTCTCCGTGCGCGGGTAGCTGATGAAGCCCTTGCTGTACAGCTTCTCGGCAATGGTCATGGTCTCCTTGGCCGACAGCTTGAGCTTCCTCGAGCCGAGCTTCTCCATTTCGACAGTGTCCAGGGGCGTGGGCCGCCACTTGTGCTTCGGCTTAATTGTGACACTCTCGACGGTAGCTCGGGGCTCTGGCTCCGCCAGGCAGAGCAGGAGATAGTTCTCGCAGGCCTCCTTGTCGAACAGACGATTCCGCGCCCAGTTAAACTCGACGGTCAAGTCTTCGATGGTGTGGAGAACTATGATGAGTAAAGATGAGAACACATGCCTTCGAAGGAGTGAGTGGGAAGTGACCTACCTCTTATCTTCCAAAAGGGCTCGGAGACAAAGGCCTCTATTTCCTTGTACCGCTCTGCGACGAACCCCAGCGTGGGAATCTGACAGCTTCCGTACGAAATCAGCTTGTCCGCTATCTTCTCGGGGAAAAGCCGTTGCAGACGCATGGTCTGGAAGCGGGTTATGGCCGCTCCAGTGCGCAGATCCAGCTCCGTGCGCACATCCACGGCATCGCTCTGCCGCTGGTCCGGCTGGCCCAGTTGCTGCAAGGCTCGCCGCACTGCAATGGTGGTAATCTCCGAAAAGCTGGCTCTATAAATAGTTAGATTAGGCTTTATGGCGCGACACACATTGATTATCTCAAAACCAATGTTCTCGCCCTCGCGATCGCAATCCGTCCAAATAATAAGCCCCTGACAGCCACGAACCTCGCGCTCCAGGGTCTTCTTGATGGGCAGATAGTTCTCGCCCACGGACTTCCGCACGGGCGCATCAAACAGGGAGCCGGGATCCACGACGCGCCAGTTTCGGTAGGAAACCTGAAACTCCAGTTGCATCAGGTGGCCGGACACCGAAGTCATCACCATTTTAGCATTCTGCCCGCGCACTGGTGCTTCAAATTCGTAGATCTTGTTATACACGGAGTAACCATCGCGCTACAAACATAGTATTTTGAGATTAAATATGTCCTTGAGGCGAGAACAAACCCATGAGATGAGGGTTGTCTAGTACTTACGCGACGCGCGGTCCCATTTGAGAGCAGGCCGGCAATCGTCTTGGCCGCATCGTTCTTCTCGGCTACGTTCAGAAATTTCATTTCTATTGGCTGCTTAGCGTAGTAGCGATAATTTTTTGCGTGCCAGGTAGTGCGTAAACATTTTAAAACCGCTGTCATTCAGTAAAATGGCAAAACAAACAATTTTAAAACCGCTGTCTATAAAATATTCCGGCGACCCTCAGAAATATACCGTTATATACCAACAAATTGATTAAATATACTATATTATATACTGATATTCCATATTTCAAGAGAGAGTTTGCGAACTTATAGCTATATGACATTAGACTTTGCCACTAACCATACAGTATACTGTATGGTTAGTGACTTTGCTAACTGTCCAGCTGGAAAAATCAAGAGACGGCCTTATGGGAAATGCCTGCAGTCAGAGCGAGAGAACTTTATGAGCTGGGAGCAGCGATTAATCGACTGGATACAATTTTGCTGGCTTGGTGGCTGCTGTGTTTTGCTAGAAAACAATATTATGTAGTGCCTCAGTTGTTCGACTGAAAGCCATTAAACGTGTCTAGCGATAGCTACGAATTATAATGCTTCATACTATTAACACCTTGAGTTAAACCACAGAAAATAATACTGTTTGTAAATTCTCCTTGTACGTCGACAATAGGTTTTTTTATAGGAAATTATATTGCTCGATTTTGATATTCGGTTTAATATTACTAGCTAGCTATGACTCTCAGCACTTAGCATGTCATTTTATCCGATAGATGAACCAATTTTCTACAAGATTGGTTAATTTAAAGGAATAATTTTTATTCATAAATTAAGATTTGAACAGAAAAGGTCAGGGCATAAAATGAATGTGTGTACGGATTAACCCTATTTCATAAAATTAATAAAATTAACTTAACAAACTGGGATAAACTTTCCTCAATTCTTTAATATCATTTTTTCCCAAAGGCTTTTTGGATGTTGCTGGAATATTTGCATACAAATCAAATGTATTTTGCTTCATTTCATGTAAATTTATCACTGCCATTTTGTGTACACTTTTGGGTAATCGCATGTAATCGCCGTTGCTCGCTCAGCTATGCTCTCCTTCTATTATAATTGATAGATAATTATCTAAGCTCGGCTTATGCTATCTGTTGCTTTCCTACAGCGTCGCTAAGCCGGCTGAAGCTGCGCCTGCGCTGTTATTTACTTTTTGATGTGGTTGGCGTACAGACCATTTTTGTCCCCAAGCTGTTCACTGTTCGGTACAAGATATCAACATGTGTATGTCGAAGTGAAATTATGCCTGGTAGTAATAATAAAACTAAATATCTGTACTTGTAGATGGGAGGTTCATGCTTGCGGCCTCACAGACCTTTTTCAAGATACAGATGTCATTCCTATGTTGGTTGGGCCCAATCAAAATCAAAATGAATACTCTTTACGATCCGGAAATACGAAACTATTTACTTTATTTATTATATCTCTCTATATAACTTGCCGGTTTTGTATTCACGTTGTTACGTGCTTTTTTTCGCCGTGTTTTGTTTTTGCCTTTGACTTTTCATTGCGCTTGTTTTTAGGGGTTTTTGTTTTGCAATTTTTTTGTTGTTTTAGTATTTTATCTTTAGCTTTAACTCAACATAAAATCTTAACAATAAGGTGTGTACATATATAGGCATATACATACATATATACGTGTATATAAGAAAAGGATAGAGTGAAAAATATGTAAATACAAAGAATTAGATGATGATCTGATCTGAGCCGATATGCTCCACCATTCCATTATTTGCCACTCTGTTTGCCTGCTGGTTGCGGCTGATGCAGTGGCTTCCGGCAAAACATTGACAAAACAATGGACTTGCGATTCGCTAAACTCATTCGGTATTTTATATGCGATTTATAACTTATATTCAGTAAAATATTAGTAATATTTAGAGCGTTTAATTATATGCAAAGTGGGCTAGTGCAGGTGGAGTGGCCCATCGCATCCCATCCCATCGTTTCCATTCCTCTGGCTGCCGCCTGCACAGCGTCGCTTGCTTCATCATCAGTTTTAGATATAGAATAACAACAAATACATGTTAAGGGTGCCTAACACTTATGAGCCACTTGGAGCTTGCCGCCTGAGCACTTAGCAGCGCAGGGCGGTGCATCAACGACGCCAGGAACGATCCTCGGACTCCTCGTCCTCCTCCTCGTCCTCGAGACGCAGCTCCGGCAACGTGTCGCTGCCCAGCAGACTCTCGCTCTCGCTGACGGACTGAATCAACTGCTTTGTGTTATCCAGAGGTGCAACGGCCACTGGAGCTGCCACTGCAGACTTCTCGGCGGGCGCAGCCATCGGCGCAGGCGTTGGCGTAACCACAGGCGCCCAAGTAATCTACGGTTTCAGATATCACCAGATAGAATATTATATTAGATATATAAATGTAATTTAAACATCTTACGCACCTGCAGAAGCTTGTCTTGGTACATTTTTCCACGGTGCACCGCTTGCTCCGCATTAATGCGGGTCGCATAGGAGAGTATTAGCTGTGGAATCTCACGGTCTACATCATGTTTGCAAATCTCACCAAAGTTCTGCAATTGTAAGAGATTGCAACAGTAATTAAGAGTCCACACATGTCGCTTCTGAAAAGACCTACCTTGAAGTGTCCCAGAACAAAGTCTGCCTCCTCGGCCGCAAAGCCCGTGACAACGATGGCCTTTGTTCGCCTGTCCACACGCGTCGAGCCTTCTGGAAAGTTGGCCCGCTTGCGGCCGCCGCCGGCTGCCCCCGGTGTGGCTGCAAAGTGAGGTGGCTTCGTGTTGTTCGGGGCCTGACTCCCACCCAGTGTGCGCTGGAGCTCCTCGAGACGCTTCTGTATGGCCGTTGTGTCGTTTCCCTCCTGCTGCTGGGCGAAGAGCTCCAGCTCCATGTCGAGCAGCTCCTTTTTCTGTTGCTCTTTGGTCTTCTTGATGGGCGGCTGTTGTTGCTGCTGGATCTGGGCCTGCAGCTGGTCCTGATCGGCATGGACATCCTTGCGCAGCTTGTCGATGGTCTCCTGCAGGACTTTGATTGTCTCCAGTGTGTTCGCCCGCTGGGGATCCTGGTGATCCAGCCGCTCGACCAACTCCAGTGCAGTCTTCATTTGTTTCACGTAGCTCTGGAGCAGCTCCTGCTTGCGCTTGCGCAGCCCATTGGCCAGCTGGTGTACGGCCTTCTGCTGTTCCTCCTGCTTCTTGCGAATGCTGGCCGCATTGGCCGACGGATTTAGAGGACGCGCTGCTGCTGCCCCTCCCGCCGCCGCTCCAGCCGAGCCGGCGACTCCTGCTCCCGCGCTGGTGTTCAGCTTGAGTCGCATCGAGGCGGGCGCTGCCGTGCTGGCCTGCTCTGCCGTCGGCGTGGCATTGTTGCCCGCCCCCGCCTCGGCCAGAGGCGTGGCATTGCTGATCTTCGCACTGTCCGCATTGGGCGTGGGCACAGCGGGGACATTGTGCAAATGGTACTGACTGGCATTCTTCCTCCCGCCGCCGCCACCCATGGCACCGCCGCCCATGGGGTTCATCTGTCCGCCCTCTGCTCCCGTGCTTTCGTTGTGCCAGAAGACTTTGATGAAGCGGTTGTTGAGCACTGCCTCCGTGCTCCTGTAGGCCACATTGGCCTCGGCGTGCGTGGAGAAGGTCACGATGGCAGCCTCTGGATCGCCCTCGTACGACACCTGGATGTTGACGATCTTCCCGAACTTGGCGAAGTGGTTGTTCAGATGCGCTATGGTGTTGAGGCCCCGCGGCACCTTCCTCAGCTCCAGCGAGCTGTTGTGCTGCTGCATGTTCGGATTGACCCGCGGACCCAGGCGACTGTTGATCGGCACCTTGCGCTTGGTGGGAACATCGGCTATGGCCACGGTGTCCTCCAGCTCGAAGCGCCGCTTGCCGATTTCGGCAACGCCGCCGGAGGGGGCGCCATCCACCACAGGTATGGGTATGAGCTGCCGCTGAAGTGGTGTGGTGACGGCAGTGGGATTGAAGGAGAATGGCATCATGCCTGGCTGCGGTGGAGCGGCAGGGTTGCGCGTATAGTCCGCGGGATTGGGCACACCCATGGGATTGGGCCCCGAGCCCAACATTCCCGGACGCACATTCCCGGAGAAAGGATTGATGCTGGTCTGGCCCCCTGGTTGGTTGGGTCCGCCTGGTCCCGCTGGGCCCTGGCCAGCAGTCGGAGGGGGCACTCCGCCACGTGCCCAGATCTCCGGGGCGTCTGGATTGTACTCCCGCATGGACATCATCAGGGCGGAGTTGTTGATGCCCTCAAAGACAACCGGATTGATGCCGTGATCCCAGGGACAGGTCTCGCCGCGCACGCAGTACCCCTTCTCGTCAAAGTCTCGACACCGCTGTCGCGGGTGTGCCGCCGGATGCTCTACTGGCATGGGGACTGGAACCGCTACCGTCAGTTGGTTGGCTGGCAGGGCCTGCCCCCGCTCTGGGGAGCTCTGGTTGCGACGCGCGTTCCGCTCGGGCGACACGGAGCGGCTGTGCGAGCGTCGGCTCTTATTGTTGCCGAACCGCTGGCGCTCATCCATGTTGCCGCCGATGCGGCGACGATCAAAGTTGCGGCGCCCATGGTGACGGTTGTCAGCCGCGCCCGGCGGCGATTTGTTGCGGAACTGGCGCTGGCTTTTCTCGCGCTCATTCACACGACGATCCCTGGATCTGGAGCGCCGGAAGGCACGCTCATTGGAGCGGGAGCGAGACCGTGAACGCGAACGTAGGGACGCTCGCCGCCGGCGACCTTCCCGGGGTTGGTTCTCTTTGTCGGCATATCCAGCGCTGCTGCCCGCCAATCCTCCCAGCCCCAATGCGACGTTTCCTCCGCTGCTCCGTCCAGGGGGACTGGCACTGCGCACATGATGGTAATGCGTCGCAGACTGCTGCTGTTGGGGGTTCTGCGAGTCCTTGGTTTTTTGCTGCAATGCGACAGGGAGAACAATAAGGGCACTGGCATGCATTTGAGGGATGATCTTTCTACTCACATCGCAGGCTAGCTTGGGGTTGGGGTGTGTCGTCGAATTGGCATCTGTTGTGGGGATGGAGGCAATAATGGCTTCTTGGCTGACGTAGGCAGCGGCGGCGGTGGCCAGGGCTTCTGCTTCCCGGGTATCGGTGCTCGGCTGTGCCTGAGGCTGCTGCTGCTGGTCGAGCTGCGGCTGATTGCTTTCGAGCCTTATCACAATGTCGATTGACGGCGCCGGGGGTGGTGAGGGGGCGGCCAACACAGATTCAATTTCGGTGGACCCATCAATGGCCAGGGCCAAGTCCACATCGAGGTCTAGCTCAACGGCTCCACTTGCCACAGGCAGTGGAGCGGGAAGCGTCAAGTATTCCTCGGTGGCAATGGCATCGAACAGACGCTCCACGAAGCGCGTCGTCTCCTCGGACAGGAAGACATCCAGCTGCTCGATCATGATGCGTTTGAGATCCTTATCCGATTTGTCTTTCTTGAGCAGCGCGATGACATAGCGCGCCAAAGCAGACGAGTCCGCATCGCAGCTGTTTGTCACAAGCGTAAATAAGAATAAAATTGTGAAAATTAAACGAAGCAGCGCAGCCAGAGCTGGGGACAACTTACAGTGGCTCCAGCACTACGCTCAGCCAGTCCTTGAGCTTATCCGAATTTTCTAATATCATTTCGATGACGGGAGGCAGCTAGAAAGTGCTCTGGTCGTCGTTGTGGTTGCGTTGGTCGGCCTTCTTCTGAAGCTGGGTGGGGGGTTGGTCGGTCGGCTAATTGTGCTTGGGCACACACATGCACACGCGCCCAAATATATATTTTTAATATGACCTCTGCCGCTTGGGGCCTCTCTACGTCACAGTGCCAGGGACCACGATGCGTACGATGATACTTACGAATGTAACTGCTGATTGTAACTTTCCGCGCTGCAATTACATGAGATTCCTGCTTATTATCTTTTATTTGACAATATCCGACAGTTTTTCCGGATTTTCATTATCTGCTCTGCTTCTTCTGTTATTGGCAGTGTGACCGCAGATCGATCAATAAAATATACCGTCCGACCCTCAGAAATATGCCAACACACAACCCCACGCACACTATCACATCACATCACTCACACCACACACACACAACGCACGCGAATTCACATATATATGCATGTACGACAGCACCCAGTTTTTTGCGCCCAAATTTATTGGACTTTCTGCGCACTTTTCTGCTCACAAACACAAACTGGACATACCTTGGGCCTTAAATTTAACTTATCAATAATTTTTCTACAACAAATTACAGTTTAAATGGCTATTTTTGTGTTTTTCACTGCACTTCTTGCTGCAAGGTTGCTTGGTAAAGTATCGAAAGTGACCCGCAATAATATACTGAAATATATCTAATCATTTGTTAAACATACCGTAAATATACCGAGGAAAAAAACGAACCCCCTATTTAAACAACAGAAAATAGTAATGTTTTGTAAATTCTCTTTCCTCGATTTTCCTTAGCACTTAACACACAGTTTTAAACGATTTTTTTTTAAAGACTTTATTTTTTATTGGATTATTTATAAAATAAGGTTTAAATAGAAAAGGTCAATAAATAATAAAAGCCTAAAACATAAGTGGGAATGGAATGTAGGGACATTTTTGCAATGAAAATTGTCGTCATCGATTACTATCCAGCCCTGGGAATTTCGTTTACCTATGAAACCTATTTGATTAACTACATTTTTTGGCATGTGCAGCATTGGAGAGGATGATTTTGGCGACGAGGGCGCCGCCCATGGCATGGTAGCAGAGTCCTTGCCCACCGGGATTGTGACCAGCCCAGGAGACTGCAACAAGTGCGGTGTGACCTCCAGTGAGCTCTACAAACTGAACTTCCGCGTGGCCGAGTGCCGTGATTGCTTTCTGATGTACGCTCGACACAAGTTTCGAGCATCCTTGGGGGCTGCCAAGGTCCTGCCCCGCAACGCTGAAGTCCTCCTCGCAGTGGATGGCTCTGCCGAGTCATTGGTGCTCCTGGACATGCTTCACTTCGCGCAGACACAAAACACATTCAGGCGACTGCATTGCAATGCACGAGTGGTCTACGTGGACGATCAGTCGGTGCATGGCGGTGAATCGGTAAATCTGCAGGCTCTTCAAGCTCTCAGTACGCGATACGAACCACTTGAATTCTATGTTACTGAGCTTGGAGCATCGCCCTGCTCCCTGCAGCGGCTTGCGGAATACTCCCCATCTCCAAAGGAGCCCAATGAACTCCACACGAATCTGAACAAACTCCGCAGCCTGACAGCTCGACAGGATTACTACCAGCAGCAACGCAAAAACCTCCTAGCCTCTGTGGCCCAGAAGCTAAGCTGCAGTCACGTCTTTGAGCCGCATATCAGTGGCGACCTGGCCACACAGCTGCTGACGGCCATTGCACTGGGTCGCGGAGGCAGCGCCGCTTTGGACGTGGCCCTTCTGGACGACAGGCTGGCAGGCGGAGTCAAGCTACTGCGTCCCCTGAGGGATCTGAACGAACAGGAAGTGCGGTTCTATGTGCATGCCCGCCAACTGAAGCCGCTGCGGGAGAGTGGCAGCAGCTATGGACAGGAGCGTGGGCAGACCGCCAGTCTGCAGAACCTGACCGCCGTCTTTGTGGCCAACCTGCAACAGAACTACCCCGCCACAGTGTCCACGGTGTTTCGGACCGGCGATAAAATTGCTGCAAATGCCAATGCGGAGCAGGCTGCTTGTGCTCACTGCCAATCCCCACGAGACCCGAAGCTCTCCGACACACTCATGGCCATCGAGTACTCGAGGGCCGTTTCAGAGGCTGGAGTGGGCCTGTCCTTGGAAGGCGACGCCTCGGAGCGTCTGGCCAAGCAGCGACTAGAGTTTAAGGATGGACTGTGCCACGCCTGCCGCTGTATACAGCTGGAGCTGGGAAGTGATATTTTGTCGTAGCAAAAGAATATATATTCTCCCATGAATGCGGCCGTTTCTATTACAATTTCGCTAGCTGGATGTTGACGCGCGACTGAAGCTGGAGATGGCCATCGAAGGGAGGAACGTTTGAGGCCAGCACAACCTTGTGAAAGTCGTAGACGACGTACCGATTGTACTGCCTGGCACTGCGGTTCAGTTCAACAACAGTGCCGGGCAGGATTATGGTTTGGGTGCACTTTTCTGGCTGGCTCACGTAGAGTTCGTCGCCTGGAAGCACTCCAAACATACATCCATCGCAGCGGTAGTACACAGGCTGCACCAATGTGGTTCCCAAAACACTGCGCTGGCGAGAGAACCTTAAAAGGTCATCCCAACGGTGCAGGTTCATCAGTCGCGCCGTATCATAGAGCAGCATGAACGGCAGCCATATAGTGCCGCCTTGGGACTGGGTCCATGCCTCTTCCGGGTCCAGCCAGTGCGCCGAGGCCACCTTTTGGCGCTCTAGCAAAAGGCTCACCTGCTTCGCCTGCGCCACCAGAGCGGTAATGTAATATACCGTGTCGTATTTGCGGCTTGCAGTGGCCGGAGTCCTCAAAACTGACCACTCATGGAGGGACCAGAGATTGGGAAGGACGTGCAGATGTCTGCATAGTGCCAGGAACTGAGTGGCATCGTCATGCACTCGCTGCTGCCAATAGGAGCGATCGTCTGGCTGGAAGAGCAAAGTCCGTGGCTGCCCAGTGGTTTTCCCAGGCGGTGCCGTAGACGCTGGGGCGGACAGTTCGCCAGCCTGGCTGCCACACTTTCAGAGGCACGACATTAGTTCAGCCATGCTGCGGGACGTCTGCCACGTAAAGGCTCCGCGATAGACACGTGCGATTTCTAGATTGTCGCAAGTGCGAAACTTTATTGTCACGGCCTCTGATCTTTGGTGCAGCTCCTTGTCGTTGCGTCTGACTGCCATACGGGAGTCCTTTGAGGAGTTGGGCATCTTATTGTGTCGGGATGCCAAGACCTTGACCTCGACCAGCGGCTACGGGCAGTTCTATGAGCAGTTCGATCGCGCCCACTGGTAGCATGTGGTGCACAATGATGCCAGTCAGTTCCTGGAGCTCTGCAAGCAGCTGGATGTGGTGCCCGACATCTGGTCACTCCACGATTGGTCTGGCCTTCTTCCTGACCACCCTCGAACAGTCGCCCAGCCTGCACATTGAGCCCAATGAGGTCAAGGACTGTGCGGTAAGTGGATCAGCTCCAATGAAGAAACACTGAACACCCACTAACCTCTTCTGTATGTGCAAAACAGTGGCGCTCACCCTTGGATTATCTTCAGGCTTGTCTGCGAAAAGAGCTCTGGCTCCCTCCCCCTCAGTTCTATGAACTTTCGCGCTTCCTCAACTTTCGCTCCCTGGAGGAGCTGCGTCAGTTTGCCATGCAACGTGCAGCCAATGGCATTGTGCTCACCCATCCTGTCATGTACAAATGCAATGATGGTGTTGTGCATCTACTTCCCGGCGACGATGCCTATCCGGCGAATCCAGATGCCAGTAGCGACCAAATAGAGACTGGCCTCTGTGTGGAGGACTTTCGTGCACAAGTGAAATCCAACCTGCATCGTTCGGAGCACAGGAGCCAGCATCAAGCGAAACTAATCATTAACTTTGCTCCGACTGATGGACAGGTGAACCCCTTGGACCCGGCTAAGATGTAGAACAGAACGAACAGAATCTTTGATCGAAAGTGCATTTATTTAGGTTTAGTTTGAGTGAGATGTTCGGATGGTTAGCTTAAGCAAGAGAGTTGCCATTGTGCTCAGGACCTGCTCTTCGTGTGTTCATTCTCCCTGCCGTACCAGAGCTTGTAGAGGTATTCGGCCTCTTCTTCTGTGGCATAGCTGGTCTCGTACTCCGTCGGCTTCTGCTTTGGCTGCGATCTGAAGAGGGGAGAGCTTCATATGTAAGTTTCAAAATATCTTGTTGATCAATGGACTTACTGGTGCGAGGGAGCGGAGGTGTATCCTGTGTGGGACCAGCCGCCCTGGGGCTTCTCATTACCTGGGTGTCGATGCTGCCCACGCTTGCAGGCGTCTAGAGTCCTCTCAATGTTCTTCTGATTGCTGAGCAGGGCCCCCAGCTTGTGCTCAATCTGCGAGGTGCCTCCATGCACCGCGAGTATCACTTTCTCAATGCCAGCCAGACTCTCCGCTTGGGTGTAGTTTAGCGAGCGCAGTTCCTGCTCCAGATGATCCACTTTCCGGTTCGCCCGGCTGGTCAGAGCATTTAGCTCATCCAAGTAGACCACTTTTTCCTCAATGTTCCTCTGCTGCTGCTGCAGAACCTTGGCCTTCTTTTCCAGCGAGACAAGCTCTCTGATGACGGACTGCTTAAGAAGCTGTTCGATCTCTCCCAGATTTCTTTCGACGGACTTGGTCACCTTGCTGAGTTCCTGCTCGTGTTTGTTTTGATCTTCATCGAACTTGCCTAAAGCACTTCTGATCTCGATCTCCGCCTTGCCCAGATTCCGGATGGCATTTTCGTTCTGCCTCTGGGCAGAGTTAATTATGGCCGTCAGGTTTCTTACTCCTGAGGCCGTAAGCTGGAAACTGTTGACCGTGTCCTTCTCCAGTTTGACCAGTCCAAACTCCAGTCTGACAATGCCTTCGATCTGATCGCGCTGATCCTTGAGTTTGTGCTCGAATCCTTTCTGGTGTTTGATCACTTCAATCGCCTTGTTGTCCAGCGCCTCTAGCTGCTCGCTGATCCCCGTCAGTTTGCGAACGATCTCCCTGTCGCCCGACTTCTCCTCTCGCTCCTCGGCAACGGTCAAAACACCACCGATGCAGATCAATAGCAATACCGATTCGGCCCTCATTGTGTATGTCGATGGTGTGTGATGAATGTCCACGACTGACTGCCCTCACTCGGCGTAGGCTGCACCTTAAGTAGCCAGACTAAATGTGCACCGGCATCACTCCAATTATTTTGAAACGTGTCTCAGCTTGCGTTTGCTTTTATCTCCAAAGACTCTCAAATTGAGCTAGTGGAGCCAGCTGCGAGCTATGCTCTATTCTTCCTCCCAAAAACTGGGTTAAATAGATGTTGATTGATTACTTTTTCATCTGGATAGATAGTAACCAGCAGAACGTAACCCCCCCCTCCATGCGTATTATACTAAATTTGTTTGGTTCAATTCATTTTTTTAAAGCTTAGTTTTCTAAGTGCTGATAGTCACGTCCGTCTTGAATTATTTTTTGTTTTCTTGTAAATAGGTAATTTAGGGAAGAGATCGAGCGGCTTTTTGTACTGTGTGTAATGTGCACTAAGATACCAGACCTTAAACGTGACTATTCCGTCTTAGTGCAGCTGATTGTTGCCAAAAATTCATTCAAAAATAGGTCTGCTAATTATGGATAACCACCTTAAGATGACAATACTTAAGATAACAGCAAGCGGGAAATAAATGTGCATGTGAAGAGAAACAGATTTTGGTCATTTTAATTATTTATTACAATACTCGTATTTATTATTATAATTACTCTTCGCCTCTTTGGAACGCCTGTCTCCTATCATACAGGATACAACCTTTAACCGAACTAGTGGATCTGCAGACACACAGGCGTAATAAATACTAATATTTTCCTGACATTCAGTCGGACCATGTTGGCAATCGAAACTTAATTTTCCATCCATTTCAAGCAATACCTATTGCCATTCTTATTAATGGATTCGGTTGACTTCGAACACTACATGTATTCCCCATTCCACGATACTCCGGTTTTCCAAAATAGCAAATGATTTAATAAATGTTAGTTTGTATTGCAAGTTCATGTGTCCCTTTTAGAGAAAACATTTTTTAAATGTGTAGTAAACAATCCACTGAGAACTGAATATATTATGAACTGATACAATTCAGTTCATATACGGTTGTTTTTGTACAAATGTTTAACCAGGGAAAAAACTAGAAACATATATGGATGATACGTTGTAAACATACTTATGTCCTACCAAATCGAGCTTCTATTACTATTTTAGCTAAATGATATAACCATCAATTTTAAATCTGTTTTTCAGAGGTTCTAGATTCTAAAATTTTCTATGACCAATAAAATGTATATTTTCGGCTTTTGATCAGATTATATTCAGCAACAAACAAAGAATGGTTCGATCTCGGGGTCTCCGACTTATACCTACATACATACATATGTACTGACTGTATCAAAAAGAAGGCTCTGTATTCGAATATTGACTCGGTTCGGCATTCTGATTAAGCGTATATGTATTACATATATTCAATGACACTCTACGGGTTGCATTTATGTTTATTTATTTGAAGTTTAAAGTTAGTCAGTAATCATTTGTATAGTTTCCTATGGGAAGGAATCCGTTTGTCCGGTTCCAAGTTTCTTTAGTATCTTTCTTTAATAGAATCATCGCCATACCAGATCCTGAAGGATTCGCCCTGCTGAGCTATGTGATCGTGGGCAGAGCCCGAGCTCTGCTGAGGTTTATAGGAATGTGGGGATGACGATATATATCCGTTTGAACGTCCCTCTTCGCATGGTTTCTGCTTGGGCTGGGTTCGGGGCTGAGGCTGTGGCCGGGGAAGTGGCTGGTGGGGAGACTCTGGGTTCCAGGGATGATTAGGGGAGGGTGCGGATTGGTAGGGAGATACCTCCTCCCAGGGCAGGTGCTGCCAGGACACCGAAGTGCTCTGGTGAGACTCCGACTCCCCGTTCGGCCTGGAGTTCGACCACGATGCGTGCTTTGCCTTGGGTTCCGGCGACTCGGCATAGGCGCTCACGCGATGGTTCTCGGGATGCTCGCCTGGAAATCGATGTGATGTAAGGATCTTAGATATCTAAGCAGATTTAACGGTGTATGCAAACACATACCAGGCTTTTGTGGTTCCTTAATGCTCCACACTTGAACCAAATCCACGGGCTTGGATCTCGTCTGCTGGTACTGCTGTTGGTGAGGATGATGCGGCTGAGGAGCTGAGTTTCCATAACTCTGGAGGTGGGGTTCCTGCTGTGAGCCGTGATGCGGGTGATGTGGGTGCTGTGGGGCTGGAGCTCCATAGCCGTGGGAGTGGGATTCAGGCTGAGGAGCGTGATGTGGGTGGTGAGGGTCTGCGGGTCTATACCCCTGGGAGTGTGATTCAGGTCGAGGAGAATGTTGGGAGTGGTGGGAGTGCTTGCCGCAGTCCTCCAGATCAACTTCGATGCGCTTCTGAGAAATGATCAGCTCGCGTAGAGCAGCTTCGATGTGTTCTCTCGTGTTCAGCGGCCTGAGATGCCTCACTGCACTGGTGAGTGCCTCGAGACGAGCCTCCTGGGTGCGATTGAACTGCTTGAGCTGGTGATCCAGAACGCCCAATTTTTGGTTGGAGTCCACGCTCAACTCCTTCACGCCGGCCAGGCTCTTCAGCTCCACTTCAATGTTGATCTGCGACGTTTCTAGACTGGCGAATGAGCACTGCAGTCCATTGAGCTGGGGCAAGACAGCGCGCGTGACCAGCTTGCTGAGGCCGTCGATGCTCCGGTCGATGCCGCGGGCACTTTGCACTAAGTGCTTCTGATAGGCGTCAATCTTGGCCTCCAGGTGGAGAATCAAGTGCTGGGTTCCCTCCTGGAGCTGCGCCAGATCGTGGAGTTCCTTTGCCGTTCGCTTGGCATACTCATGCCCCTGCCGGGAGTTATTTGCAAAGGTTTCCAACAATGCCTCGGCTTGGGCTTCGAGGAATTCATTCTGCTTGGCCAATATCTGTTCGACATGGCCTAGGACCTGGAGAGCCTTCTGCTGCTCTTCCAGATTCACTTGGATTCTTTTACCGACGGTGTTGATGCTGGTCAACAGATTATTGGCTTCGGTCAGCTCCTTCGTGTTCTTCGTCAGCAGCTCCGTTATCTGCCCATCGTCCCGAAGGCAGCTGCAGATGCATACGCAGTTGACAAACAAGACCGAGAGAAGAACTTTCATATCCCAAGTTGCTTTCAAACTAGTATTCCAATTGGAAGTGTCTTCGGTGCTTCGCTTTCAGAGCTTAAATATGTCTCGCCACACCTGTGCACGCGGCTAATCAATTTTGCATTGTTTTGTGTTTAAAAATAGTTGTAGTTAACGGTTTTATCTGAACAATTTTTGAATTCGGCACGAACCCCAATTCGAGCCGAGCCCCAACCACCTACATAGTGTTGGTAAAGATAACGTGTTTGTTGTTGATCGGAACAGGATATCGATAGGCAAACAGCTGATGGGGAATTAGTTTGAAAATATTGCATTCAATTGTTTAATTTAATTATTGTAATGTCTCCTTCAACCAAGGAGGTTACTACCAAGTGGCGCACCTCGGCCAGTGTTATCCTAATCTCCAAAGAAGCCAACAAGCACCAAGATTATAATGTAAGTCCAAGTCACAAAATGATATATGCTGGGGGGAATTGTAGATTGTAGAATTCCTCTCCCAGCTATTGATGCTCAAGCGCAGCGATCCCACAGCGATCGTTACGAATCAAACTGTCTTCCCCGGTGGCCTGCTGGACAAGGCCGATGAAGACGTTTCCTGGCTGCAGTATTTCGAGGAGTTCGGTGTGCCACAGGAGGCCCTGAGGCGCCTGGTGCTGATCCGCGATGACAGGCCAGCCATACTGGCGCCCCATACGGGCTGCTATGACCGCTTCTTCAAGCGCTCGCACATTTGGTCGCGGTGGGTCCAAAGGTGACACATCTATCACATAGATTATTGAACTGATCTTTGTACTCTTTTCTTCTAGGGAGATTACATTGCGACTGACTGCTTTGAGGGAGTGCTTTGAAGAGGTTGGAATTCTCCTGTGTCGCAGCAAAAATGAACTGGACTTCGGTAATGTTGCCTTGCCAAAGGAGCTGCCCGATCGCGAGGCTTGGCAGCGACGAGTGCACAACAAGCCCAGCGAGTTCCTGAACCTGTGTCTGGAGCTGAAGGTGGTTCCTGATTTGTGGGCCCTACACGAATGGTCGGCCTGGGCCAGTCCTCCCATCGTTCGCAAAGGGTAGGTGAGAGAATGTTTGCGGTTTTTGTACAAAAATTAACAAAGACACCTTACAGCTATGAGACTGTCTTCTTCATAGCCTTTGTGGACACACGACCCAGCCTGCTTGATGAGCCGTCTGAGGTCAAGGAGTCTTTGGTGAGATTTGGCTATAATATTACCCTTTTTACCAATTGTTTTTCCAATATTCTCTTAGTGGTTAACTCCTATGGAGTTTCTGCGACTGAACAAACTGGGGGATCTCTGGTTTCTGCCTCCTCAATTCTATGAGTTGTCGCGACTTGCCGGAGTTGGAGTTTACGAATCGCTTCTGGGGTTTGCCACAAAACGCAGCAGGATGGGTACCACCATGTTCATGCCTTTGGTCTATGCTTGCGAGGGATCTATGGTCTATGTCTTGCCAGGTTGGTTTAATGGGTATTGAGACCTAAATATCATATCCTAACCTGATTCTCTGCTTCAGGCGATGACTACTACTTGCCAGAGCCGCAACATGTTGACGAGATCATCAGTTTTCCGGGCTCCGTCGATGAGTTTGGGGCGCGCTCGAAGCACTTGCATCGGTACACCTTTGGGGCCTTAGTTCAGAATCTGGAAATTAACATTCCCCCACCAAATGGCCACTTGAGACCGCAGAGGGTCGTGAACGAGCGTCAAAAGCTTTAGTCACATTCCATAGGCAGATCCTGCTGGGCTGCTGCCCATCGAGGACAGTGACCTCCCACCCCAGTGACCTGACCCCATCTGCTTAGCTCTGATAAGATACTTAATGTGACCTTTTAAACGGCGGGGCCTCAAATCGTTATGAAATTATTCTAAGCGGATTTGGCTGGGCATCAAAATATCAAGACCCTGCTCTGGACGGCGTTAATTATAATTTTATAGGCGACACTTTAATTAAAAAACTGTAGTTTCGGTTCAAGTCTGCCATAAGTTAGCTTAGGATTGAAGCCCTGTCCTCTGAGAGGGGGATGCGCACATCAAAAGCGCAACTCTATGCATATTCATGCCCCCCACACCCCCTGGCAACCGCAAATCAAAACGGGAGTGGAAGAGCAGACAGAGCACATGATTTCATCCCATTAGGAATGCATTTAAATCACTTTGTGTTTTCCTCCCCCCAATCAGTGGTTGTTGCGCCACCTGCCGTGTGACTTTGTGCGCTTTACAGCCTTGTCCTGCTCTGATCCCCCAGGCACAGAAAGGCAGGCCGTTTAAAAATCAAAAACTGAACGAGCTGTTCCCCGCTTCTGTTTGCTTCGTGCCTGCTCGACTGTTTATTATGCATTGTAAAGGACCAACCCTCCACGGGGGGGGGATTGAATGACTGGCACACGGGGGGTGGGTGGGTGGTATGAGTGGGGCAGGGGCAGCTTGCCTCTGTAACAATTACTTCGTTTAATTTAACCTTTTGTGGGTTTCTTCCGGCGTTTATTGTTCTGATGTTCATTTAATATCGATTAATTATGCTATTAAGTGACTGGGAACTGGAAGGCCTTACAGAGGCAGAGGCAGCACAGCTATGCTGGAGCTGGGAGTACCTGAAGAGCACTGAAATCTTAATTAGTTGGCAGCGCAGGCCGAGAGGTCTGCAAAGCTGCTCATAAATTACAAATTAAATTTAAATGCATAATGTGACAAAATGTCTGTGTGAGTTATGAGCGGCGGCGGCAGCGGCAGGCAAAGCGGCTTAGAAGCTGCTAAGATGTTGCTGCTTGGGCAAATGAGAATCCCAGGGCGACAGGTTGAAAAACTTCTTGATTTATGCAGGAGGAGCAGGAGTGGGTGATACTACTCGGTCGGAAATGGTATATGGTAGATGGTATTTGGTAGATGGAGACAGAAGACAAGACGCCATGTAATTGAATTTTGAGCTCATTTTCATGATATAAAGCTGATTTACGTGCTCGCCGATAAGGTGTGGGTACGTAACGTTGGAATTGGCTTATTAATTGCCCACAAGCGTACAAATGCATATCACGTACTTTTTCTCTCAGCCTTTGTCGGGCCCAATGCCCAATTATAGTGATTACTCCACTAGACAGACACGGACAGGGTCCGAGATGTCCTGCACCTGCAAGTGACATGAATACCAAATCCCTTCCAGATCGATTCGCAAGTAATTGACAACTTCTCGCCGGGACTTCCCACGGGTATAACCAAACACTCCACACACTACCACAGCGAGAGATGTGAGAGATTTATTTTTATGGCGTGCATTGTTTGCACTCAACTCGACTCCGTTCGGTTCGCCCGCCCGCTCGAGGCAGGGGCAGAACCGGGGGGCGGTCGAGAGCGTGGGGCGAGAGCGTTTGGCGGGCAACTAAATGAGTATTACCGCAATAAATCGCCGCAATTCATTTAAGGGTCGGGCTCCGGCTCCGGCTCCCGCTCGGGCACGGGCACAGAGCTGGCAACCCTTAAATCAGCCAGCAGCAGCAGCAGGAGAAGCTGCTAACTGTTGATGAGAGAAAGCCATCTCCATCTCCACCCCCGAACCCGATGCCGAACCCACAGGGAGATGGGGAACCACCCACTATTCGTCAGACCGTGAACCTGTTACGGGATGTCAGATTGTCACTGGGGAAATCGCCGTCCAGGGCAGAAGCTTGGGCAGGGGGAGCCTTGTACTCCAGCTGGTCGGACAAATTGCATCAATTGACTTGCGTGTTCAACATAATGGCAATTGTGGCTGCCTCTGCCCCCTGTGGGTGTGGTGACGACAGTTGGACTAATGTGTTACATGATTTTCTAATGATGTCTTTATTTCGTAGCTGCCAAACAGGTATGCACTACCAAAAGGTCTTCGGATTGAGGTTGACTGAAAATCTTATAATATCCAGGATTCTTTGATTTAATAGGGGCTCGATTCGATTAACAGCAACTGCCTACTCTCTTCGAGAGTATTATCTAGCTCTAGCTACCGTTCTTGTTTGTTTTCCGGGTTTCCTTTGCAGCCGTTTCCAGGGTTTCCAATATCAATCAATAAGTCCCATTAGAAATTCTTTTAAAATTATGATAAATGTCTTTTTATTTCTACTCATTGATTCAATGTTAATTTATTTTCTAGAATCTCAGTTGGTCAAGGAACTGTACTCAACCCATCAATAAATACTTGTATGCAAGCTTTGAGTGTAAACATTGTAGAAAATCGCAATGTCTTTTTTTATTTTTAGTCCCATCTGGAACATTTTATTTGATAAGAAAGTAAGATGTACGAAAAAGTTGTTGTTGACATCACTTTTGGATGGAGTTCTCAATGGTGCTTTCACTGCATACAGTTGGCTCCAATTTGGCGCGCTGTTGCAGGTGGCATGGATCAAACATAGTTAGAGATATACCTAAGTACAAGCATATGTACATATGTACATATATATTTAGTAACAAACATTTAAGTACATAGTAATGAGTATGTGTGTACACAAGTACATGCATATGTATGTACATATGTGTACTTAACATTCCACGGGACATAATTGAAAACTACCTGTACGCACACACCCACACACACACACACACAAACGCACTGTGGGCGTTACGGTTCTGGCCAAATATGAATTATGCGCTTGCTCCAACAAGTTTGTTCCTGTTGTTGCTGTTGGGGCTGCTGCTGCTCCACTCGTCTGCTTAATTTCCATGTCTGTCTCTTTCTCTCTGCAGAATTCACACCTAAGCAGCAGCAGCAGCAGCAGCAGCCCCCATTACGGATGCTGGTTAGGTGGTGTTGGTGTCCCTCCCCACGGGCCTGCGCATAAGTCCCCGCTGGCTACGTTGGGGTAGGTGTCTCTCTGTCTGCTGATGCCGAGGGGCATTATGTTGTCACGGACCTCCATTGCATTCCATTGAAAAGTAGCAGACACACACACAAGTGGCGATGCATGTCTGGGCAAGATTGTACATGTATGTGTGTACATATGTATGTATGTGCATGTGCTTTGCTTTCCATGTGCAACATTTGCAATTTCGTTAGCGGCGTCGTCACTTTTGACACTTTTCTGTTATCTTTGCAAAAAGTGTGACCTTGTCACTAGTTTTAATTGCGATTGGGAATATATTTGGATTATCGCGGATGCATTGCCGAATTTATTGCCCTGCGAGGCTGGTAAAGATTTTGGCAAGGCCCCACACATCCTGGAAACTTTCGCCTCATCGACGCTCCCCACCAAATAAATTTTGGCCAGCTGTCGAACGGTCCACCAATAGACTCAACTCAACCCAACCCAACCCGAAACGGCTGAGCTGACTCTCTCAAAGAAACGGAGAGACCCTTATCAAAAGCCTCGCATTTCATATTTCCATTCGGGGAGTTCGAGCTGTTCGCCAAGGAGGTGGGCCGTCATTTAAAAAACCATAAATTCGACGGCAATAACGGATAAAGTATGTTTATTTGGATATTAGGCTAAGCAGCGGCGGAACGGAAAAGGCCCATAAAAGGGGTAGAAAGTCGAAAAAGAACTTGCGACACGGGACGGTCTACAAGAAGACGTTTCTCAAAAAACTCTTTAACACTTGATTTAACTTCTGCGAATACAGTCCGCGCCAACGCCACACGGCAGTGGTCGCAGCATAACATATGGAAATTCGCATTTTTATTCTAGCCATTCTCTGTATCCAGCATTTACGATTAGCACTTAATTCCTCTGTAAGCGAATAAAGTTACGCGGAATATCGAAGAAGATCAGCAGTCGAATTTATTTGTATATGGAACAAATAGGATGGAATATCAAATGAAGAAATTAAGATCAAAACAGCTGGTTTAATTTTCTTATCAATTATTTTGAGTTATCCAACAGAAAATAAATAAAGTAACCAAGTAAAATCAGTCTTAAAATTTAATGTGAATTGTTATGATGTCATGACGTGTCGTAGCGAAACGGACTGTACCTGATACCCTCACGCGTCAGGGGTGGTCAGTCGCAGGAGGGTGGATGTGGATGGATACACTGTGTGCTTGGCATATGAATATGAATTGTAATAGATTTAGATATGAATCGGAAATACATATGTCTGCATATGGATATGGAGGGGTTCCGCTACTAACAAAGGTCTGGCACACTGAAAGGAGCAGCTACAGCGTATAATCCAAGCAAATTGATTGAATATAACGTTTTTCTTAAGATATCTACATGAAAGAAAAGAGCTCAAAAATATGTTGTAAAATGCCACAAAAGAGAAAAATTAATTTTCTCCTTTTGAGGGTGAGGAAAATGGCAAAAAGAAAATGGAATTTTAAGCCAAATGAGTTGGGTCGTTCAATGGAAAAGTTCCCCAAAAGTAAGAGCCGCAAAAGTTTAAGATTTCCGGCGACGAAAAATGTTGAAAAATTCTGGGGCAGATTGAGCGTATCAAATTCGACACTCGGCAAAGTCTCGCCACAGTTCGTCTTCGTCCGTGCTTTATTTTTTACTGGTATAAATTATATGGCACTTGCCACGTGTCACCGATTTGTACGGGGGCAAAGTGTGAAATATTCCGGAAAGGACTGTATAAAACGGCCTTCGCTCACCCTTGCCCCAATCGTCAGTTCCATGAAGCGTGAAATATTTTTACTTCTTTCAGTTTGCAAGGAGAATTTAATCCGTGCGGAAATTTAACCAATTTAAAAGGAGAGCACACACGACTAGAGTCGGCACGCCCCCTTTTCTCGGGTCGGCCCTCATTGTATCCCTTTTGGGCCAAAGACGGAACGGGAGAGAGCTGCTTCATCCGTTTTATTGTGGTAATAAAACTACAATACAAATTGTTTGAATGAGATTGAACAACATTTGAATGGAGCATGAAATGATGCCGGTTCTCCTTCTGCTGCTGTTCCCCATCCCATCCCCATCCTCGTACTCGTATATTGACTGCCCCTAACGAGTCGATATTTATGGATTGTTTTGCTTAATTTTAGCGGGAAATTTCCACAAGAATGTTGTGGGGATATTAATAGAAGCGGGCCGAAAGTGTATTTATGTCTGTCCTAATCAGCATCAAAAGCCGAGTATAAGTTCAAAAGTAGAATACAAAATCAAATCGATCGAAACAAACGGTTTCATGTATGTAGTATTTGACAGTTACCTAAGATATTTCAACCAAATATAAACTTACCCATTGATGTTTTCCTTTCTATGAGTTCTAAAAATATTTCGACTCTCAGATGGGCTCGTACTAGTACTGAGTTTGACCACAAACTGGGACAGCCAGCACGATGGTTATTTCGGTCGATGGTACGAGTATTATCCCCGATCAATCGTTAGATCTGTGCTGTGCACACACAATCCATAAAACTAGACTTTTAATTACCACAGTCAGTGTTAATATTTA